AATTAAAAAAAAACTGCAGAACAAATATTTGCTCAAAAAAGTAATTATTTTAATTATTAAATAATAATTAATTATAAATAGCATTTCATTTAAATCAGTAAAGTATTTTCTCAAAACAAATTTGTTGCTAACAAACTGATTTTTGGTTTCGGGTCTCATTGTGAAACTTTATCAAATTTAGTAGTACAATTTGAAAATATATCTAAGCTAAATTTTGGCAATATAGATTTTTTTATTGAATGCTTATGTTGAATATGATATATCAGACAGTTGTATCAATTATTTCTATGTAAATCTTGTTTTTAATTTCTTTCATAGTCAAACGATTCAGAAAATTTATATTTCAATTTAATTTTACGAGTCAAACATTGCGTTCTGTGTATTATTGTTTGTTGAGATGTATCAAAAACATGTTGTGTTGGACATACAGACTCATAAAAACCAGTATTTGTTTCTGTATTTGAAGTACTTAAGTGCTGTTGAAACTTATGAGACAGATGCTCACACATCAATCAATCATCCAGTCATTCAGTTTTTAATTTCAAAAAGTGATGTATCACAATGAAAACCTACCTTTTTAAAAAGAATTATGTTATGGTTATCTGCAGTGTGTTTCATTTTTAAAATAATATATAGAAAAAAAGTTTTTAATCTGTACAAATTATGAAATTATAATATAAAAAACCGCCTTTTTTAAAAAATTAAATTTTGATTACCATTTCCATTTTATTTTCATCTAAAAAAATTATAACATAAAAAAAGTATTTATTTATTTATTTATGTTTCAATATAACTGCATACAATTTGCAATTAAGTGCTGAAAAACTTCTGCTAAAAATTCAAAATTTTAGTTGACGGTGCAATAAAAAATGGGGAAAAAAACTTTAAACCTCTCTGAGGCAATGATCTTTTACGGTTGATGAATGTGCTGTGTAAGTGAGATGCTTACCATATAAATTGATAATGATGATGATCACAAATGATGATAAACTTGGTAATGACAATGATGATTATGATGACAATAAAATCAGCTTTTCTGGCATTAGACAATCTCACTGTTCCTTGGGTCGCTCCATGCATAAGGATGAATTATACCCGCCATCAACCACAGATGATTGCTATTTCACTCATTCATATATTCGTTCGTTCATTCGTTCGTTCGTACATTTGTTCATTCACTCATTCATCCATTCATTCAATCCATCCATTCAATCCATCCATTCAATCCATCCATTCATTCAATTTATTCATTTGTTTTGCTTCACGAAGTTTATACCTTGTTTAAATATGTTCTGAAATTAATTTTTTCTAAATTACTTCAAATTTTTGACCGTTTGCTTTTATTTATGGAAAATAATCAAAAAAATCAATGTTCCCGTCTTTAACAGCAAGTAAAATTTAATATTAATGAAATTTTCTTAGCATCGTTTATAGCTTTTATAGGGAATAAAGTGACGTAAGGAGCTAGCCGTAGATGATGCTTCATTATGAAAACCTTCCTCCTTCACAATCAAGTCAACTCTGACCGTCTCTTTTCGAATTAATTCCTCACTATTTTACAAGTTTCTGAATAAATTTTTCAAACAATTTTTAAATAATTCAAATCGGCACATTCAACAACATGTAACAACAATAATAATAATAAACAAGATGAACCTTGCATGTAACATCTTTCGTACGCTGTCACATTCACGCAATTATGAGACGTTCCTTAATGCCTGGCACTTTATTTTCTCTCCTTTCTACACTGGTAAGTCAAAGCAGTGATGTGTGCGTGTGCGTGTGCAGATTGCAAGTTCGTGAGGCGAGTGCAGGATTGATGGCTCCAAAAATACAAAATTGATGTGCTCTGTGGCGGTGAATGCATGCGAGAAAGAGAGAGTGAGAGAAATTGATTTCCTGAGGAGGTAGTTAATGAAGATATCCAACAAGTTATTTGTGATGTGACACTAGTGAAATTAGCGTGCAAATATGCTACTAAATTTAATAAAATAAAGTTAAACTTCTTTCTAGTTGTGTATGCTTGCAAAATGTTGAAATTAGAAACAACACCAACGAAAAGGGAGAAAAGGCGAAATTTGAACGTATTCAAGTAACTTCTTTATCTGGAAAAATTCTTTGCGTTTTCTTGCTTCATGGCTAGGGCGCAGATGAATGATTGTCATTATTCCGCTCGTTCATGGAATTGTTAACTTCTCGGAGCGTGAAGACGTCTCATAAATATCATAACCGTGCCAGGATGCTGATAAGAACAAGCTTCCTCCTATTCATTCCTCAATACTTTAAATGAACATCTTTTATTCCAGTAGCTTTCCGAAGCACATAATTTTTTTGCGATTCTTTTTTTCCTTCCATATGTTAAGTTTTTTTTTATCTGTTTTCATTTGTGTTAAAATAAATATTTATTTGAAAAAATAACCATTATATTTTTCAAAAACTTCATCGTTTCAAAGTTAATCTAACGTTACTTCCATGCTGTTATGATGAATTTGAAATCTCATTGTAACTTAAACTGAAAACAATTTCGTCTGACGTTGTTTATTAAAATCACAATTTTTTGATGAAGAACTGAACATATAAAAGAAACTAAACGCTCATCCACACATTAAAAAGAATATGAGATAGCAACAACGATGTGAAGATAGATACGTATAAAGTCCTTATGTGTTATTTGCAATTGAAAAAGCTGTTTATTCATTCATTACCTTATTATTTCATTGAGTTTATGTGAATATACTCAGCGCCATACGCATTCATTTTTTGCATTGCTTTTTGTACAGAACATTTTTCCTCTTAGGCGTGAAATTTGTTGAAATAACAACAAGTTATACGTGAAATGTTTTACAAATATTATCACCACTCAACACTTATAACATATTTATAACAATTTATAACAAATCGTTATTAAATTTATTTTAACATTTAGCTTAGTAAGGTAGACATTAAATAAAATGTTTGTTTTTTGAGATGGGATGACGTCATAACACAGAGAGGCCATCAGATGATGAGGTAATTAGGGATAATGAGATAATTTGCTGTTCCTCAGACTAATTTGCAAGTTCGTTTCTGCTCTCCTGACAAGTGAGCACGTCCCAGCCGAACCTACCCACACCTGCTCGCAGTAACACGTTTCCAATATTCCTCTGTGACAAGTCATTGGAAAATTATGGGGAATTCACAAACAAATCAACCCATTTACACTAAACTAAACTGGTTAAGTTCTTATTTATTCAAAATTCTATGATTTAATTTCAACACTAGACTTATTCGCGATAATTTTTTTGACATAATTGTGAAAATATGAAGCAATACCAAATAGAACATTAGATAAAATTGTTCATTTAGTTATGAAAACAACACCAAGTAGAAAATTACAGAACATATAAAATTAACAACATCGATAATGAACACTACAAAATGATTGATATCGATTTTAAAAAATAAAATTTAAATTGTATGTATATACGTACTATCTAAACGTTCTAATTATTATCCTATGAATTTGTAGGAATGCATTTATATCCTAAATCAACTTAGATGGAATATCGTGTTGCAGCTATTAAACATCGTCGCAGAATTGCCAGCGTTTAGCTTGTCATACCTTTTCATTTGTTATATTTACCCGTCACATTCCCTAATATCTTTCCTATCAATCATCTATTTCCTTTGTAACTAATACTCTTTTCATATTTTCTTTCCCACTCGTCATTTATTTTTATTCTTTCTGAAATGTTTGCCGTCCTTTTGTTAGCTATTTTCTATCGAAACTATTTTAAATAGTTTGAATAATTGCGCAAGCATTTAATATCTTAAACTTTATATCTTCCAAAAAAGCAGTTTTAAAATTGAGACTTCAAATTCTAAATAATATGGAGCCCTTATTGTTGTTGTTATTGTTATGTTGACGTGGTTGCTGCTGTTGATGTTTAACGTAAATTGTTTGATGTTATTTCGATTGCATTCATTTATTTATGCTTTCTGCTGGCAATATATCTGGATTAGATGCCTTTGTTTTACAGCAAACTCCGAAAAGTTTATGGTAGGTTATTTGCTATGGTCCTCTTTTCTGTGTGTTTGTAACTTGAAATACCTTCTTGCATTTGCGTATTTACGTTTTACCGTAGTTTTTCGATTTCATTTTTGTTATAATGCAAACAATTTTAAGTTAGTTTAAAGTTTATAATTAATAACAACATTTTTTTAATAAATTAGTTTTAAATTTGAAAAAAATGTCGGTTGATTGTTCATCTGTATTTATATATAACTGTTTTAAGTTATTTTAGTCTGGCTAGTTGCCCAGGACCCCATTTCATGAGATTGTAATTTTATTGAGCTACTTTTGTTCTTAATTTTAATTTTAACCGCAACTGCTTACTTATTTTTTGAGTTACATTAAATTGCTGACTTTGAAAACTTACTGTAGCAGACTATAAATGTTAAAACAAACGTGACATATTTTGTATGAGTGAAATAAAATTTAATATCTCTTCTATCGGCATTCACAAGTCTTACAAAAAATAGCTACGTATTAGCTTCTTCAAATGTTTTTCATAGAAGTATGTGTATCTGGTAGCCGGGCCAATTAAATTTGTGCATTGAAATATAATAATTTAAGATTTGCGTTTTATTTTATGCAGTAACACTCCTTTAATCGTGGCTCCTTCCTTGCAAAAATTTATTTCCTTTCATTATTTCGAACAATAACTTAGGTTCGAATTCGTGCTCACGCACATTTTTAATAGCATTAAGCTAAACTAAACCAACACCGCCAATTAAAACGAAGAAGAAATTTTAACTTCGTAATCAATTTTTTCACAATGGTTGAACGATTTAACATTTGAAATTTACAAAATTTTCGACACCCACAGAGCGGAATCCCAACAGAACGCACAACAGCAGCAGCAGCAGCTCCATCAGCACCAACAGCAGCAGCAACATCATCAAACTTCAATACCCCTTGCTCATTCAAAAACAGAATTCTTTCAAACAAAAACGTTAACTCAGTTGAATGCGGGCAACAGGCAAACCGCAAACAACATTTCGGCAACACCACCCCTGGTGAGCAAAACTAATTTAAGTGCGTCATCAACAGCACAACAGCGCTCAACATCGCCGTACAATAGATCAACGACACGACTGGATCTGCTTGGCACGAGCAACAACGATGCAACAACAACAGCAGCAAACGCAGCAGCAACAAACTTCATCAAGTCACCTCTAATTGGCTGCACTTCTAGATTGACCACGTCAACCGGCAGGAACAAATTGAACGAAGGCTCAAACAAAGGAAACCTCAATGCTGTTTGTAAAATTTTTTTTAATTTTAATTGGATATAAATTGAATTTTTGTTATATGTTTTACATTAAGTCCCCAATTAAAACCAACTGTGACATTGCTATTAAATACTATTGCTTTTTAAAAAGAGGAGCATGTTTTCAAACCGCATGCACATGTACACTTCAGTTAACATTTTAAACACTCCCACAACGGTAGTTAGTTTACAACAGGCCAACTGCACTTAACTGCTTGAATGTGATGAAAGTCCTCTCTTAATGTATGCATTAAACGAATTGAACATTCAAATTGCTGGATCACTTGCGTTAGAATTATGAGTTTCTCTCTTCTTGCTGGCGTGGATGTTTCTTTGGCTTGCGTGCGTGTTCACAAATCTTTGCAAATATTACGTTGTTTTGTTATTTTAACTTGTTTTTTTTTCTGGCAGTGAAACAAGAAGTTAATTTTTGAAAGTGTTGTTTGTTCATTTTTTATGCATGATTTTTTCGTTATTTTAAGGTTTTTGAATATTATGTTACCTTAGTAAAGATTGAATTGTATTTTGTTATATTGTTTATTTTTCAGACGTATGTACCGAGATAAAAAGAATAAAGTTGGCAAAAATTTTTTCTATTTGATAAAAACTGACGCTCACTTTTATAAAGGACATGTTTGTAATTTATCAAGTGCTGTCTAGTTTGGGATTTTTTAAGACTTTTTATTATTTTTTAAAATTACTATGCACTAAATATTCATGCCATGCAGTTTATTTATTCAATCATGAAATCAATTTTGCAGCTAAGAAGATTCTTACACAGGCAATTGATTGATTGATTGATTGATTGATTCATTGATTGATTGACTAGTTGATTGATACGATGATGGCGTGTATTGTATTATTGCGTGCATACATGCACTTTTCCATGGCAAGTTTTTTCAAAATTGCTTTTCTTTAATCAAACCTGGTTCATTTATTACTCAAGCACCACGTTTTATAAATCCATGTTGGTGTTTATATTATATACTTGCTCGTCTATCGATCCACATTCACTCATCTATCCATCAATTTATATACCTATCTATCCATTCATCTATTCATTCATTTTCACACCCAATTTTTTTGTCACATATATCCATCTATTTATTCACTTTTTCATTATTATTGTATATTATGTATTTTTTTCCAGCAAAAACACATGTCCATTATCTAGCAATTAATGATATATTCAGACAGATTATTAATCTATTTATTCAATCTTTCAACATTATAGTATATCATTATAGTATATCATTACATACTTTTTCTAACAAAAATACACTCGTCCATTAGATAATTAATAAATGATACATTTAGACAGATATTTTTCCTAGGTTTTAAAAAGCCCCATACATCACCCAGCAAATTTTGCTCCAACAACACAGAATCATATTCACTTTTAACTTTCTTTTCCATTTCCGTTCGACACCGCCCATTCTCGCGGCGATCCGTCGTAGGGAAGTTTTCAATGGAGCGATTTGCACGCGGCATGTTTGTTATTCTCATAAGAATTAATGACGTCACGTAACTTACAATCTCGGAAATTTAATTCAAATTTCTACGTGATGAGGCGTTCGAAGAAGATATTTTTCTATTTTCTGTAGTGTGATGCGATCAGTTCTTCAAAAAATTCGCAAATTTTCCTCGATTTTTGAAATTTTTTTTAATTCTTTATTTTTGGTTGTAAAAATAAAAATTGGTTCACGTGTCTACTAAGAAAAATGTTTACGTGTCTTTTTAAACAATTTTATTTCATTTCAATGACGTAAACCACGACGCAACCGACAACATAAACAACAACGTAAATAAATAAACAACCCAACCAGTAACATAAACGAACAACAATGTAAACATGACTATGAACAACGGTTTTAACAACAACAACACAACATTAAAATAGCTAGGACGTAGTGAGACAGAAAAAGAAAGAGAGAGAGAGTGATGTTGGGGGGCACCAGGGTAGCTTATCCGACTTGTCCCTTTTGACATGTGCCACTTAAGTGATGCCTCGTTTGCATAAAAATTATCCTTTATGTGATAAACCTTACATGATATACGTGGTTCAGCGTGTGGAGAAAATGGGATATTAGTTCGCAACCGCAACCAGATTGTGTGCAATTTTTAAATTTTAATTTGAATGATTCTTTATTAATATGGTAAAATTTATATAACATTTGAAACCTAAATAAAAATAATAAATTTTCAAAACTAAATTAGCACAAATACAATACATCCTACATCTTTTCATCCTTGAATGAAGCATCAAAATTAGAGATCATTAATTAAATTTCATTTTTTTATAATCCAACGTAAAAAGTACAAAACTTAAAACATTCCCAAGCAACGAGAGTTTCATCCAAACGAGAGTCGGCACTCGCACAGCCACCGGCATCAACCTCAATACAGAAAACCTTAAAAAAGTCTGTGCACTCTAAATAGCTCAATCATTGTCGTCGTTCAAATTGCACAGTCAACAAAAAGTTGTCCTATGGATTGGTCCTAATGCAATTGAATCAACAACTGTATGCAGCAGTGTGCACTGTTGTTATATTATGACTATTTCTTTGTTTCTTTTACTAACTATTTTGGTTGAAATTGGCACCTAAATAATCGCAGACTTGTCTTGGTGTTCAATAAGAGTTAAGTGTAACATGAAATGAAAAAAGTGTGTCTATTCTAACAACTTAATAGATGCACTAGTAAATGTTGTTAAAAAATAAAAATAATAATTAGTTTTTACAATAGGGCGAGTTCTTTCCAATCAACTTGTTTATTACCAAAGAATGCAAATGCTTAAAAACCGCACAAAAAACTTTTTCGTTTTGCAGGCTTACTGATCGATTGAATGAAAAAAAGAAACTTTCTTGAAAGAATTCAAGATATTATGAGCAAAATTATTACTAAAAAAGTGATCGATAAGCAAATCCTTTTTTTGTAGCTAACGTTAACGCAGGTTAAGATTCCTTCAATGGCACAATTGCCTAAATACTTAATATCACCTCTCTTGATCGACATTTAGGTCATCAGTCGTATCAAAAACACCAACACCATCAAAAGAATCGTTACGTCGCAGCATCACTAACAGCAAAATAATTTAAAACATCAACACCTGTAAGCAATCCTTCAACCATAACCCCCATCACCACAACCTCTCAAACACATCACCACCACCACCATCATAATCATCATTTTCAACAACAGTCAACAACTTTAACACCACTGACGTAACACACCCACAATTTTACAGATGTGATTTTATTGAACTTCAGGCAAACATTTCGTTAAATTTTACATTGCAAGAGCCATTGAAGAACTCTGAATTTGGATTCACCACGTAAAAACATTTTAATGAAGCACATACCGAGCATTAATCAATCACGATAAACAATATAAACCTGGTTGTCCTATCGTTGCTTGAACATTCTACACATCATACATAAGCAACATAGTCATAGGAAGGAGAATAAATCAACATCAAACTATCTAACAGTACTAACCTTAATCCCGAAGCCGCTCTTAACATCGTCTAATGCGAGTGCAACTGCATCACAACACATACCGACTTCTTTTATTTCTTTTCATTTTCTCTATCCAACTTTATGCCACTCTGTTCATATTCTTCCCATTAAAGTCCATATTTCATTTTAATATTTCTTCATCTACCACAAATCATATTAGTTGTGTCAACCAATTTATAAGAAATTTCTCAAGAAGGATAAATATTGTCCTTAACATTATCTTGATGAAAATTTTTATTATACTCTGCTTCGAAACTTTTACTGTAGCATAAAATTTTTTTATGGAGATTGCCGTCAGCATTAAAAATTCTGGTCATCAGTAGAGAGAGAGAGATGCAATAACATTTCCACTTCATTCAAACTAATCACTTTTGTACTCGCCAAAGACGTACGACTTTTATAAACAGATGTTTGTTTATCTATTATGTCTATGTATGTACATGTACGTACATATATGTTAACGCTTTTGAGAAAGTCCATTTTAAAAAGCGCTATATAAATACGCATTTAATACAAATGCTACTACTACTATTACTACTTCTGCACTAATACTACTACTACTAATAATAATATTAATAATTATAATTAATAATTGCACTGCCTTTTCAGTAAGTTATTGTAACAAATGCCATGTTGCAGTTGATAAAAAAGGCCAAATATACACAAAACGCACTTTTGTAATTGGAAGTAATGTCATCATAATTCATTAGATGCAATTATTCAATGTGGGCAAACAATGAGAAACAGCGTCATTTGTTATTATCCAATAAAGGCAGCCTCTCTCCACCCTGCACTTCATCTCAAAACGACAATTTGTCACTCAATATAAATAACATTCATTTATCTTAATGCTTCTTTTAATTCTCACAAAATTGTTTTATAAATAAGTTTTTTTTATTGATTGTTTATATAATTTGAATAATAACTAAAAGTGATCAACAAATTTGCGGTTATGTTCGGTGGTACAAACTTCCAACTTATAAACTACTGCTGCCTCTCACCTTACACGGCATACAACTTATTCATTTCCACACATTCCTCCTACGATTTACGTTCATGCGGCCAGCATCCATCCCATCTGGCGGCATTAAATTTAACGCGCAAAACATTCTAAAACTTTTATTTTTCTTCCGTCTGTTTGTAAATCAATGTTGAATATTGGGAATAATAGTTATAAAATTTTGTTTTATTAGTGAAATTTCCGATTCAATCTTAATTTATAAACTTGAACGTTTAACATTTTCTTACAGAGTTCTGAACCGAACTCATGCTGCACGTCGCCATTCAAGCAGCAGCAACAAGCCAACCAGACATTATTGAACGACGCCCTGACGACGACAGCAATTGATCTCATGCCTCCAATTTTTTTCGACGAACCAGATTACAGTTGCGGCCAAAAGCTTGGTCGCATACAGTTCAGCGTAAGTTATGACTTTGATGCGTCCACGCTGACAGTAAAAATCATTAAAGCGGAAGACTTAGCAGCTAAAGATTTATCAGGAACAAGTGATCCGTACGTCAAAATTATGCTCCTGCCAGATAAAAAGCACACCATGACTACAAACATCAAGCGCAAAAATTTGAATCCGCGCTGGAATGAGGTTTTCGCTTTCGAAGGTTTTCATGAATTTTTGATTTGCAACCATGTTTTATATATTGATATATTGTTTTATATATATTGATAACAACGACATTATAACCCACTTCTACAAAAAGAGAAGTAAGGAAGTTATAATAATATGTGGCAGGTTTCCCGTACCACAAGGTAGCAACGAGGACCTTGTACTTGCTTGTTCTCGATTACGATAGATTCAGCAGAGACGACCCCATTGGCGAGGTCTGCTTGCCCTTGAATGACCTCGATCTTGGGACCGGTCAGACCCTGTGGAGGACGTTGAGGCCTTGCAAAGGAGCCGCGGTTAGTTCACGAATATGTCTAAGGTGCTTTACATGGTTATATAATAAAAAATTTACGCTGACCTGTTTTTTTTTATTGCAACAATCGGGTGTCATTATTTTGCTTTCAAATGTAGATATCTGTGGTGTAATTTTTTGAACTATTTTTCTGATCGACTACGCTAACAACTTTGCGACAACAAATTATCATTGTGAAAATATTACTTAATAATTTTAGTATTTTTTGTCACCAGATATTGAAAAGCATTAATTTGAAATTATAAAACACAAATTTGAATCTCACTAAGTGACGATAAACGTGGAGAAACACATGGAGCCACCAAATATCTTGCAGCACATCATGCTGCTAATGATTTCGTAAACATCTTTCGTTTCAATTTATTGCATGAATCTAACAATTATTTCAAATATTTTATATTTTGGATATTGACTTTTTGTCCCGATTAAACTGACGAAACTGCTAGTAATAATGTTTGAAGAAAAGTTGAAACGAGTTTTAATGAAATTTTTTTGCTTCGAACGCTTACTAACGTTGGCAAAAAGTAAATTTTTCGAAATTTTATATTTCGAGCATAGTATAATAAAAAATAAAATAAAAAGTTACAAAACCGCGCTTGACGTGGCAGAAAATGTTGGACTGAAGTGCCATTAACGGAACGTCGAGGCACATTTATCAGGAGCAAACGCATCATTTCAAAACGGTTCGATGTGTGGCTGACACAACAATTTGTTTGGGCACAATGCTTTGGCTGATAAGCAAACGTTCAATTTTTTGAAAGGCAGTTTAACTTTCTGTCTTTGATTTAACCAAAGCACAAGTTTATTTTCTAATTACCTATAAAAACTTCGCAAACACATTAAAAATTAATTCAAATTACAAACGTTCTACAATAAAATACACCAAAATGTTTGAAGCATTGGCGAAGAACTCGTTCGTTTGAGCATTTACTTTTATTTGTACCGGAAAAAACTCAAGACGTCTCAAACGAGTTATGTAATTAAAAGATTTGATATTTAAATAACACTTACATGCTAATATCATACAATGTTTTAATATATATTTACTATTTATTATCATATATTTATCATTATCATTATCATAAATTATATAATTGAGGTAAACCTCGTTGAACATCATTTCACCTCTCAATCATTGACAACGCTGTAGGGGAAGCTTGGCATGCTGCTTGTGACGTTGTGCTACCAGCCAGCCTCGGAAACGATCACGATAACAATCAACAAAGCGAAAGATTTGAAAGCCAAAGACATAAATGGCTCCTCAGGTTCACATGTCTTGAATGTCTAATTATGTTTTTGTTATTAAAAATTTATTCTTCCATCATTTATTCATTCCATCCTTTTGCTAACATTTTCCAAATTTGTTGCTTCTAGTCATATTTGGCATATGTTTGTTTGTTGATTCAAAATAAAGTCAAAAATAACTGATTTATCTTGCAAAAATAAATAAAAAATTTTAAATATTTAAAATTAAATAATTTTGTCAAACACCAGACTACTTGCATGTGAACTTAAACATCTACCTAACAACACACTTAAGGATTTAAATGTTTACCAAATCACGTGCGTGTAAACTTAAGTCTCCACCAAAACAACAATGAATGCCGATTCATAAATTAATTTCATGGACCACTGGGCACTGCAGACCCGCGCTGTCACGCACGCACACACACACACCACACAAACACACACACCACACAAACACACACACCACACACACACACACCACACACACTCACACACACAAATGGAATACATCGTCGCGTTCGACGAATTGTGTCATTGATGAGTCCTATGATGCGAGAACAAGCCTATTCTTGATGAACATCGACGACCACAGGTTCCGCAAACCCACACCCCTGTGCTGTTACCATCCCGGGCCACCTGCTTACGCCGTCCTCTTTTTCCAACTAGAGCTGCAATGCGCGCCTCCTCAAAGGCCAAAACTGCCGCTTGTGAGCGTGTCTTCCACCGTGAACGCTCGAGCGCAACGACACCCAACGTTTTAGAATCCAGTCCGACTTTTTTTAGGTTTTCCTTCAGATTATCTTTAAATTTGCGAACTGGACCGCTTGCAAGGCGAACTCCAGAAGCCAGCTGTCCGAAAAACACCTGTTTGGAAATTCTTGTGTCCGGCATGCGGATAACATGTCCCGCCCAACGAAACTGTGCCTGTAACAAAAACGCCTCGATACCCAAGATACCACACATTTCCAATACGGTCGTATTTGGCACTCTATCCTCCCATTTAACGTTATCGATAACCCGTAGACATCTCATATGAAACTGATCGAGTCTACGTATATGGCGCCTATAAGTAATCCATGTCTCACATTCATACAACATTATGGTTAACACAACTGCCTTATAGACAGATATTTTAGTAGCCAGCGACACACCCCGTTCCTTCCAGAGTCGTCTACTCAAACCACCAAAAGCAGCACCAGCCTTGGCAATCCTAACCGTAATTTCATCATCGATTGCAGTAGTGTTGGAGAGGTAGCTACCAAGGTAGCAAAATCAATCCACAGCGTTCAACTGCGAGCCACCAATAGTTACGATGGCTTTAGAATCCGACGAAATATGATAGCTTTGGTGCAGGACTTCTGTTTTCTTCCTGCTCACCGTGAGTCCAAACCTTTCTGCAGTAGTGTGGAAACAGTTGAACAGAGCCTGAACTTCACTTTGTGTATGTGCAACCAAAGCGCAGTCATCCGCAAAGAGCAGATCGCGGACTATTGTGGTTTGTGTTTTTGACTTCGTCTGTAGGCGTCTGATGTTGAAAACGTCTCCATCCATGCGATAGCAGATTGGAATGCCCTCTACACAATGTTTAAAGGCGACTCGAAGCATTAGGGAGATGTAAATGTTGAACAGCAAGGAAGCCATGACACACCCCTGCTTGGTACCATTTGTCACCTCAAAGTCCAGGGATCGATCACCATTTTCAACTACGGTTGCCCTCATGCCTTCATGGAAGGAGCGAATAATCGACACTAAAATCGGAGGACAACCGATCTTTTTGAGACATTTCCATAACGCTGAACGGTTGACGGAATCGAACGCCTTTGTTAAATCTATGAAGACGAAGAAAAGTTCGCGTTGTTGCTCACGACATTTTTCTTGAAGTTGTCTGGCAGTAAAAATCATATCCATAGTACCACGACCAACCCAAAAGCCACACTGACCTTCTGTAAGATACCAACATCATTGACGTACTTGATTAGGCGGTTGACGATCACGCGGGCCAATATCTTTCCAGGAATCGATAGCAGAGAAATGCCTCTGTGATCATCACAGCATGAACGATTCCTTTTCCGTTTAAATATGTGAATGATAAGAGCATCCTTAAAATCTTGAGGAACCGATTTCCTATCCCACATGTCTTGGAACATTGTCAACATCCTGGTTATAAGTTCGATGACACCACATTTGAAGAGTTCTGCCGGCAGCCCGTCCAAACCCAGAGCTTTTCCATTCGACATTTGGGTGATTGCTTTTTCCACTTCAGACAGGCTAGGGGGATCATCGAGATCACCTGCAATGCTTCAGTCAGGCAACTCAGCAAGGACTAAGTCATCAAACCGGGATTCTTGATTTAGCACACTGTTGAAGTGTTCAGCCCAACGAGCCAGGATTCCAAGGCCATCCTTGATGAGTGTTTGACCATCTTTAGACAGTACCGGGACACTACCGGAGCTGCGGGGACCAAAAACAGTTTTCAGATTTCTGTAAAATGATTTCATGTCTCCGCGGCCGGCCGCTACTTGCAATTCATCAGCTCTGGAAGACCACCAAGATTCCTTCATCTGACGAAGCCTCCTCTGTGCAAAACTGCGTGCTTGCGTGAAGCACGCTTTTTTGACGCAGTTTTCCTTGTCATCTATCCAAGAAAGATGGGTGCTGTGCATGTTGTCCAGCAGCCCACGTGCCTCCGTATTCTGATCGTCGAATCAGTCCCTATGCTTAATACGCTGATATCCAAGCACATTAACCGCAGCTATCTCCACAATCTGCTTGAAATTTGACCATTCTGTGCTCTCATTTGTTGAAAACTCACCACACAATGCTTCGCGGAACAAATTTCTAGCTGACGGTTTTGTTAGCCGAGTCACATCCAGTTTGGCTTTCCTTACAGTTTTGTGATGTCTTTTGATTGGTTTAACAGTAAGAAACACCGACATCTTAATGAGGCGATGATCTGACCACATTGTTGATACTCGCACCGCTGTAGTTAGACGAGCGAGACGAAGATCGCGTTGTCTGATAAGTATGTAGTCGATGAGATGCCAGTGTCCTGAACGTGGATGTTTCCAGCTAGTCTTCTTCCTGTCAGCCTGTTGGAAGACTGTATTTGTCACCACAAGATTGTGCTCTGTACAAAATTCGAGGAGCATGGTTCCATTTAAATTTTCCCTACCAATTCCATTTCGTCCAAGCACTTTTGGCCACAAAATGTGGTCTTTACCCACACGGGCGTTAAAATCACCCAAGACAAACAACTGATGATTGTGTGGTGCTGAACGAACAGCGTCACCGAGCTGCTCATAAAACAAGCTCTTCTCAAAAGTTGCTCCAAGCGTTGGCGCATAGCAGCTGATTAAGGTAGCAGTGTGACCACCCTCCAGGTTGAGCTGCATCCTCATTAGGCGTGGTGAAATACCATAAGGTACCTCATGTACAGATTTCAGGAGTGTGCTACGAATGGCAAAGCCCACTCCACCAGTACGCACCTCACCTGCAAGATGACCTTGGCAAAAGAAGGTGTAACCAGCACCTCTCTCCTCAAACTGTGTTGCTGCAGAGATTCTTGTCTCGCTGAGCGCAGCAACATCGATGTCATAACGCGCAAGTTTACGCGCAACAATGGCAGATCGACGTTCATTATACTTCCCAAGATCTAACATTGTCCGGACGTTCCATGAAGCCAAATTTAAAATTTTTCTTTTCTTTTGACCGCATAGTAGGATACCCAGTCAGCCGCTGTAAGCTGACAAGGTTGGCAACATATTGGCTAGCTTTGTTTAGGACAGATTTTTTAGTCCCCTCTCCGGTTGGAGAAACCAGTGCATCCTTGAATAGGGCTGCTTTGTCACCCTGGCAGGATACGAAAATTGCTGTAGCCATCAGCAACAAACGTAATTTGCTGTAGCCATCAGCAACAAACGACCATCACACACCAAGGCCGCCTGTGTGTTGAGTAGTGACTAGACACTGCCAGTAGTACCCTCTACCTGTGCCCGTCGCCACTCGCCAATCGCCGCAGGACTTTGTTTGCACATCCATTCAAGCATCAGACCACCAAGACCACCTTCACACTGGTTGATTTAAGTGGAACATGTTTGTGCGGCATGCTACACTCTCTCCTCCACAGGGGTCGGTATCAGCAGGCACAATGAGTTGAGACACGCCGAGCGACCAGTGTGGACGCAGAAGTTTGGATAAAATTGCGGTGCAGTTTCCCAAGCGTGGGTATAGCCGCAAGGCTGCGGAGGTTTGAAATCAGAGTTTTCTTACTCCTAGATGGTATTTCCTTACGAGCGCCATCCGCCCGGAACCTGGTTTAGGCGCCAGTAACTCGCCTTCGCCCTCTCCGCCACGTGAAGGAAGGAGTAGGACCTTTGGTGGCATTTTGTAGAACTGGGGAGTTCAGCCCCCAGATCACCACCGGCAAGCCATCGCGTTTGGGGGCACACACACACACACACACACACACACACACACACACACACACACACACACACGTTCATCTGTTCATCTCATGCTAACGTTTGGGAACCAATGATTTAAATTGCAGCCAACAACAAAGAATGCGCGTGCACGGACGTCGTAATGCCCGTTTTTGTGCTCCAGGAAGGAATTGTTTATAGAAAGAATGTGTGCATATTTTTCCTGTTCCTACGTTGGGAGCGCCCTTTTGTACATAAAGGATGCTATGCATGTAGTTTAGGCCAGAAAAATGATACAATAAAAATTCTGTATGAAAAATATTCCAAAAAACTGCGTGTAAAAATGTTGACTGAGATCTCACGTGCAAGTGTTTATGATAGGACCGACCAGACCATATCTCGTATGTGCTATGCTGTTATATCTCTAACTAGTGTAATTTACCCGTTCCTGTGTGGTTGCACACTTCTCAGCGTGATATTGCATAAAAACTATTTAAAGATTTAAGGCAATTGAAATTTTTGATTTGGCTGAGAATTCTAAAATGACTACCAGTATACATCAATAGTATAATATGCATGGATGTGGCTGCAACAATTAAAAAAAAGATACTAATTCGACTAAAACGAATTATTTATAAAAATGTGAAAAACTAAGAACATGATGTCATCTGGAAATGACCCCAACAAACTTGTTGACATGTTTCGTGAGATACCAGGCAAAGCAATTATTTTTTGACACACAAACATGATGCGCAAAATTTGTGGAATGCAAAAAAATAATCTTGGTTTGAATTTTGACAGAAGGTATGAAAGTTATTTGAAAAAAATTACAAATAGTCAATGACCACCGATAAAAAAATGTTTTGAAATATTTGAATAAGTTAAATTAAAAAATAAATTTTAAAATAAAACTTGTTTTTACATTGATCAGAAAATGTCCTTTGCAAATAGTTAAATAATGCTTGTAATAATTTTTTATTATTTTAGAAATATTATCGCTAACAAAATTTAACTTTATAGTTATTTTTAAAAATTATCGGAATTCATTTTTATTCCTTACATTTGAAAAAGGACTCTACATTGAAAAAAACAACCTACAACCATGAATATCGCATGTATTAAAAATAAATGCTCAACAACACACAAACAGCAGATGTACAACAAACAACAAATAATGAGCATCAAACAACAAGCATTCAACAACGACAACAACAACAAACGACAGCAACAAACACTCAACATCAACAACAATATCAACAACAACAACAACAGATCCATACGTGAAGGTGTGGTTAATGCACGATGGCAAGAAAATTGAAAAAAAGAAAACTGAAGTGCACGAAAAGAATTTGAACCCAATCTTCAACGACATCTTCAACTTCACCGTACCTTACGACAAAATCAGGCAGAGCAGTCTCGTTGTGTCCGTCATGGATTATGATAGGATGGGCCGGAACGAAGCCATCGGTCCGTAGGCTCAACCAAATTGTGTACATTCATTTAAAATTGTTTACTCATTTGCTTGATTCAATTTTTTTTATTTTATTTGAGAATTTGTAGGTCTTTTTGGTATAAAAAAATGTTCAGGAATGAATAATTGAACTAAAAACTCTTTCGTCATAAAATTTTTTTCAGTTTGACTGAAGCTTGAATTTTTTTTTTGCTTTGCTTTGTTTTTAAGTTTTTATAAGTTGAGTAATTAAATACAATTCGATCCTTTAAACAATTTTTTCTTATAATCTCAATCATATTGATTTCAACATTAATTTAATTATTTTATCATCGTCATCATCATATTTGATTAATCTCATCACCATAATAATCATAATTAAACCACGCACTATGTAGCGGATCTTGACAACTTTGACAGGGGAGGGACAAAGATTTAAAAATGTTTAAATTTTCACCGGGGAGGGACAACATTTTTTGTGGTATGTTTTGGTCGACTTTACACATAAAACGATTCTTTTTCTGACTTGTATTAAAAAAAACTACTCACAACGTGGGGAAGCAGTCTCCCCCGACCCCCTAGATCCGCTACTGCACCCACTCACAGAACAAACCACCCCCAATCTCCAAACAAACACTTGGCATGCAGGTCAGCTGGTGCTTGGGAGCAAGAGTGGACAGATGGAAGTGAAGCACTGGAACGAAATGTTTGCGAAGAGTAGGCAGAATGTATCGCAGTGGCACGTTCTCAAAGATTTCGGCTGATCTGATCCACACCTTCGTCCAACGTTGTTTCGACATTGTTCGTCTGCTGAACATTTGTGTTTGAATGTTCAATTGATTGCTTCTACATTTCTCACTAACTCAACTTGCGCTATGAAGTTGTAGTCACAACTTTTCTTAATTATAATTCACGACTGATCAAGGTACGTAACCACAGTATTAAGCCTGATTGTGCGTATTCATACAGGTGTACGTGTGTAATAATAATATTATCAGTAGTAACTCACTGTACGTTAACACTGCTAATTTGAAAAATTTTGCTGTCATGCATTAGCTGTTCTAATGAGGTGTTTATTAGGTTTATAATATAAAATATTCAGTTACTGTATTTGTAAATGAATTATTCATTATATGAAAACCACATTTTTGTTTCAATACTATATTCCTAGAAGGTTACTCGAGCAAGTTGTTTAAAATACAAATATCTGTTGTCAAATGTTCAATTACCCATGCTTTATTTTATTAAGATGAAATAATTAACTAAAAATTTATAAAACGTTTCTTTGTAATTGAAAAAAAATTAATGGGTGACATCCATTGTTTTCCTTAGCTGCTCCGTTTTGAATAGATTCTAATTGTTTTATAGAAAATTTTTAGAATTGTAGCCATCATTTGTTGAAATATCACCTGCTGTACAATTTTCTTTCTTTAGTTTTAGTTTTTAATATATTTATTTGATTAATTTTTTTTTATTTTGAACATTTTATTGTAGTATGATTTTAGCCCAACAGAAAGAGCTTAAACTGTTCGTTCCACATGAAAACTTGAAAGATTGGAGAAGCTTTGAAAAGTGACGGAGTAGAAATACCTGAAGACATTATTAGTCATAATTAATTTATGTAGTGTGCCTGTCTAATGTTTTTATTTTATTTTTTTTTTTTATCGGCATGCATGTATTTCTAACGAACCAACAATGTAATGAATATACCACGTATGTAATTGCTTGTGTAATTAATCTAGCTGTCACCTGCAAATGTAACTCACATTCAATTATTCGTGCTCCGTTTATGAAACTATCATGAAGTTTTGTGTGAATTTTCTGTCACTTGAAAGACTTGCATTTCAAATTTCACTATGGTCTCAAGCGTGTCTGCGATTGAATGATTTATTTCAATATGAAATATTTCAATCTAGATTAAATTTACTAGTGACAATTTATAGATTGTGGATCATAATTATAATCAATTTATTGAAAAAAAAAAACCAATACAACAATTTGTACATGTTTATAGTTTGCATATTACGCCTGATCTTTGCGACAGGATGGAATTAAAATTAAATTAACCAGTCAATGAAAATTCAAGATACACAATGACAACATTAACGTTATGTTATGAACTGAACCACACTGAACGCCGTGACGAAAATTGGAAGGAAGTTTTTGGCAGATTCTTACATTTGGTCGGTGATGTTTTACGTGTTGTTTATATGTGAACAATTCGTCTTAGCACACGAATTCCATCCAATATTAATTCAATTATTAATGATAGTTAAATAGTTACGCATGCATGGGTATATAAAAAGTTTTCCATATTTAGAAGACAGCAATGATATCAATGAAGATGATGTGCGTTCTAGATTGGTAAAAAACAAGAAAATGTGCCTAAAGTAGTGCAGAAATTTCAAATAATTCCTCAAAACGTTTCGTTTTTTAGTTACCGATAGATAATAAAAACGCTAAAAACAACGATGATATGATAATATAATGATAATAATAATAATATCAGCTACAATCGCTACATCAGTGCATAGAACGTTAAGAAATAGATGATATCAGAGGTACGTGTACACATTCACATAGCAACAAGTATCAACAATACATACATATTTACAAATAAGTACATACTTATTTATTAATAGTAAATTAAAGAAATTTGAGTAATTAAATAAGAATGACATCTTGCCAAATTTATAGACATGAATAATGAAGGTAGTTCGTGATAGAATATCAAACTGATAGATAATTATTAAAGATGAATTCTTAACAACAACCACTTTCAACTTTCAGTCTTACGTCGTTGAAAAAGCTAATAAATTTTCATAGTGGCTGATGAATGAGCAAATGTTTCAAATGTACATTCATCGTCAATTGCATCAAGAATCAAGTTTTAATCTTCATTTACTTTAAAGAGTTTTAATATGAAGCAAAAGCATCTTCATTCAAAAGTCTATTTACAATAAAATAAAATAATTTACGTTTCATCAGTTATTTTATTATAAATTTGCACTATTATAACATTGCAAAATGACACTGTATGAAAAGATAAGAAATTCATATATACATGTAATTATGTATAGGTACAACGAAAAGTTAGCTAAAGTTTGTTGAAATATTTTGGCAGTAGAATAGTTAACTTTATTCAATTATGAAGAATACAATTAAATTTAAAAATCATGCAAAAGATGCATGCATTCGTCCATAAATACATTCATCCATACGTACATTCAAAAATGAATGCTTGTTTGCATACATACAGATATACATACATACTTATATAGCTATGTATACATAACACACACACACACACACACATACACACACACACAACCATACATATATATGGTTGTAATATAATATAATATAATATATCATTATTAATTATATAATTTTATAATATTAATATAATATAATATAAAATAATATAATATAAAAGATATTTTATTTCTTCCTATAATTAACAAATTTCAAACAATTTTAATTTACTTAATTTAATTTAATTTATTTTAATTTAATTTAATTTTAATTTACACAGAAACTAAATTAATGTTAATAAACATACACTATTACATAGCATAACACCCATATAACTTATTTAAAACTCCTACTGAACAAGTATAGGTTTCTACAATGCGGTGTTTTATGGCGATAGAAATTTTTGATAATAAGTGGAGTGATGTTTTGAAAAGCAACAAATAATTTGATAAGCATTTAAACATAAATATATTATATTTGTTAAGGAGCAAAATAAAACTCCCATTTGGTGTGATATTTTTTTTTTGTATTTTAAGCATTTTTGCGGATAAAGGCATTGCCACTCAAAAAATAATTTCAAGTTTTTTGACGAGCCACAAACTAATTAAAAATTAAAGTCATTTCACACAATTTTTTTTTACATTTATTTCACTTCTAAATCAAAGTTTCCCTAATAAACATCAATAAATCTGGAAAAAGTTCACCCAAAAGCTTTTTAGGTTCTATACAACAATCGTGCCAAGAACTACCTGACGTAGCAGACCCAACCAGTTTCAGTTTCTAAGCTCAATACAAGTGTTGACCGCAATCATTCAACCACGGTGACCTTGCAGTTCCAAAATTCAAGTCTTCACATTTTGGGAAAAGAAAATTTCTTTGTATCAGCTGCTCAAACTTAGAATGCGTTACCTACTGACCTAAAAAATCCAACACCATAAGTCGAAGTGACTTCCCACAGCGAAGAAAGTAAAGAAAACACGTCTGAAGTCGATTCATGGGAGGCGCTATACAAGTTCTGCGACACGATACAATACGATACGAATTGTGTCATACATACATTAAGTAAGAAGTTTGTGTTTCGACAAAACTTAAAGTTTGTTTATAATTCTCTCCGATTTTGAATGCAACAGATAAATGAACAATAAATTGAAAACATGACAAGCAGCCATACATTGTCATCATGTTTGATGCAACAAATAATTGTAGCTCTAGATGAATGTAGGAACGGTAGAATATACTTAAACGTGATCTAATTGCATCAAATTAAACAAACATCTGTCAACATTAAGCTTACCAACAAGATTGTAGAGATGAGTATGAATTGAATTAACGAGTATGAATGACATTGACACATGCAGCGTCGCCAAGAATAGAAATTAAAAAATTTTCTAACATCTTCAGAGAAGTTCATAAAATTAAATTAATTTGTAACTTTTCATGCAAAGCGGTCCCAAAAACATTTTCATAATTTCAATTAATTTATTATTAAAAAATAATAGCATTTCACCAAAAACGATACGGTCTGATTGGATATAATTCTAAAAAAAATGTGCGTGAATCTCACCGTTGTAATTTTTCTTCACGTAGAAGAACGAAGCCGGCACAAAAAACACAACAACATAGAGACGAACATTACACAGAAACACACGCTAACAAAGGTGAGCATGATATAGTGCATCGCATGGTATAAAAAATTAAAATACGTTCACCAGGTGACCGTAAATATTTCGTACAATCGGAACAATGCATGCCCAAAATGTGGAGCGAATTTGATTGCGCTTCACATTTTTTCCAGTTTATGTGTTTGCATGTTCTAAAAATGTTTTTGTCTGTTTGTGTGTGTGTTTTTTCGTTTGATAGGTTGAGTGTGAGTGCACGTGGTTGGATTGTTACATGTGCGTAAGTATTTACAAGTGTTAAGAATGCATGCGCCGATGAATGAGAATGAGTGCGATATGAATGCAGCGAATATGATATGAAGGACACAGCCACGTTGATACGTATCGATTAATCATTGGGATGCCATCGCTGGCTCTTTCGCTTGGTCGGCTGGTTGGTTGGTTGATTGGTCGGTCGGTTCGTTGGTTGTTTGAGTGGCTTGTGAGCACCATTTGTAGATTCTCACTCGAAATAACTTATTGATTGAATGCAGTACATTAAACGTCTAGATAGTGAATATTTATTAACAATTAATGAGTGATGTTATTAACGCCATGAATAACATATCGATTGCGTGCTTACACATCTGTCCGTCTGTTGATACATCCACTGAACAATTAGTTGTAAACAGCTGGTCGTAAATGAATCCAAATCAACAAACATCCTGTGGGCCTCCGCTGAATTGCTGTTCTTATGTGTTGTTTGCAGGATAACTTCTCCATGATTGTTTTCATCGCGTGTCTGCATACGCTTATTTGAAATTCTCAAAAATTAATTTGGCAACCAAATGGTTTCTACTTTAAAAAAACGAAGCGAAAATAAATGTTTCTGAATTATAAAAGTCATCGATTTTTTTAAAATGCTTGCAGATGTTTTTAAGATGTTTATGATACGAGCAAAATGTGTGATGTAATTGATGTTGTTCTGATTTTTGCACCAGGACTACCCATCTATAAAGGATGATCGTTGATTGTATGTTATGGCGTAAGAGTCGTAAGTATTGTTCATTGATATCGAGTTTTAATATTTTAAAGTTTCCATCAAATTTCAACTGCTGACCACAACTTTGAACTGAATTTTATGGTTGACGGAGACAATGAGACATTAAAAAAACAATGGTCCTGAAGTTGTTGCTGGTGATGTTGGCCATTTAGCTGTTTAGACGATGATCGTTGATGATCATTTTAAATCTGATATTGTTAGAAAAATAGCCAGCTTGTTAATTTTTGTCGTGCCATCTTGTTCTACGTGAATTACTTGAAAGAAAAAACTTAGTTAGTGCTATCATCTCCGTTTCCATCATCACTAATGATGTTGACACTTGGATTATTTGTCGTTTTGTCATTGTTCATGTCATTACTGCTGTTGGTGTGGTTGTTGTTGTTGATGATGTTGTTGACGTGGTTGTTGTTGTTAATGTTGTTGACGTAGTTGCTGTTGTTATTGCTTTCTTTGCTTTGTTCTTTATCATTTCTGGTAAAAGCATCAACATCATCACCGTCATCGGCACGACACTCATCATCATGACCATCCTCTGACGTCAGCTTGATTGAGGGCTGTTCCTTCAAGGTCGTTGATGTTTCTTCTGTTAATGAGTAAGTTACGTGTTGTTGTTGCTGCTGATGTTGTTGATGTTGTTGTTGATGTTGTTATTGTTGCTGCTGCTGATGTTGTTGTTGCTAGATGTTGTTTTTGATGTTACTGTTGAAGTTGTCTTAGTAAATAATTTATTTGAAATAAATTTTGAGATGTTGTTGCGGCTGTTTATTATTGTCAATGTTGTTGTAATGTTTGTGAATAGAAATTGCATATCTGTTTTTGTTGTTAGCAAATAATTTATGCGTTATTGTTGATTTTTTTTTTGTTGATTGTGTTTTGAATTATTGCTGAGTCTCGTGTTTACTGACATTACAAAATAAATGGGGTGTTGTTGTGGTTTTGTTGTTAGTTAGGGTTTTTTGCAGTGAATAAATTATACGTTGCTGTTGTTGTTGATGTTTGTTCAGCTGCTAGTTAACTTAAGCGCGATTTGTTTGTGTTGTAAAAAAAATCCTGCCAAGGATCATTAAAATATGATTGATGTTAATGTTGATTGTGTTTTGTTTAAGATTTTAATGATGTTACGATGATGATGTTGAAGTGATGATGATGAAGATGATGATGTTGAAGTGATGATGTTGAAGATGATGACGAGTGAGTTGATGAAGTCGATTGATGATGTTTGGTTAATGTGAACTTGCCGTAGTTGATGTTGTTAATGATGTTGTTGGCGTTGATGTTGTCAAGAAGATGTGATTTTTATTGATGGCTTTATAAGTTGTTCACGAAAGAGTTAATGAAATCCTCACCGATAATGTAGATTACATTGTATTAATTTTTTAAAAATAAAATTGATGATGTCTATTAATTGCAAATGCCCTATTGTGGTTTTACAAAATTGTTTTTTATTATGAAAATTTGAAAAAGTGTTGTTACTGTTGTTAAATATCTTTGCTATTAAATGATGATTGATTTTCATAAGGTAACCCTTTTTTTACATAGATCTATCTATACATATATTGCAAGGTGGTATCAGTTTCATACAAGCCAAGATATTGTTATACATACAATTTCACAATGCTAATTAACTTGTTTCCTGGCAGGTGTCATATCCCGGTGTACCAGCATACACTATTAACTTATCCTACATTCGATGGCTATTTCCAGTCAATGAAAGCATACTTGGTTACAGATTATGAAAATTTCAACCATAAATTAAAACTACGATGACTGAAAAATACAACGATCCTTAAATGCTGGCTTGTGATAAATTCAGTTAGCTATTATTTGTGTTTTAACGTTTTGTTATATAATTTTGTTTCCACGTTTCATTCAAGTAATTCGTTCAAAAGTTGGGAGGAGAAGCAAAGATAGGGATACGTGATGTGCACTGGATGAATTATTTGCCATATAAATCAAGATTGACACGGCTTACATCTGTTCTTTTAATTGATGACATTTTGCAACGGAAATTCAAAAAAAAGTGTTCAACCACATTAATCAGTAAAATGCATTTTCGAAAGTGTTTTAGATTTTTATTGTATAGGAGACCGTCCAACAAATTCGAAAGTGTAAAAAACTGCTGGAAAGTGACGAACATATAATGTTGACGATATTCAAGCATAGTTGAACAATATTGAAACTGACCTTTTTTGGGAATGCATTCACGCTGCAGTGGACTGATCCAACCTGGTTCATTATTTTATAACAACGTTTTCAAGATTATTAAAAAGGTGTGCGTTTGGAAAAATATTTTTTCGTATGTTACAACTGAGTGATCAACAAAATGATAACTGACTCAAAAGTTTAATAATTCTAAATAAAACCACGTGTATGAAACAAACAATAGAGCCAATGTAAACAAACAATAAAACTGATGCAAGCAAGCAATTAAATTGAAAAGAACAAACGTTAAAACTTTTGTTAAAAAAAGATTAAAAAGAAGTAAACAAACGTTAAAAGTGATCGAACGATGAAATTGAAATGAACAAGCAGTAGGTGCGAACAAACCATTGGCGGATCTTTCTTTCCACTTCTGCTTGTTGATGACGAGACATGCCTCCCAGGCTCTCGTTGTTGTTCTCGTCGTTTCGAAATTCAAAACAGATTGCGGCGTTGATGAAGTGGTCGACGGCTGTGTTGACACGCTGTTGCATGCCGAAGTTGACGAAACATTTCTATCAGAATCTGACGACATCGTAGTAGTTGTCGTTGTGTTTGTTGTTGTTGCTGACGTGTTTGCACTGTTTGGAGTTGTTGGCCTGGGACGGTTCATGAGATACACGAATCTGTCCGCCATGTCTCCGAGTACTTGCAAGCTCGGATCAACAATGAAATCTATGAAACCTGAGGTACGCGTTTTAACTCCAATGATTCAATGGGAATGATATTTTACATATGGTGACCAAATTATACAAACATCTATTGTTTGACTGCCTTTTGAAAAATATTTTAAGCTTAGGCAGCATTTTAGGAATGTTTAATATTCAACACTAAAAAATTCGCATAGCATATTTGCAAACAGAAAAAATTAAGTGGACAAAAGCAGCCAACCAATTTGTGATTCGGCTACCAGGGTGTTCCTTCGATCACAGAGAGGTGATACTGGAAGTGAGAGCTGCTCTTCTTGGTCGCCCTATCAATCCAATTTTCATAACAAGATTGAAATTCAATTATTAAAGATATTGTAGTCCAATATTAATAAAGATATTGTAATTTTCAATATACGGACAAAAGAACTAATTATAATAAACAACTTTTTTCACTATTATGATTTATTCATAAAAAGAAATTATTGCAAATTGGTTTGCTACTGAAACATTTTTCAACGTAAATTAAGCAACCTGCTATGTCAAAATATTAAAACCAGTTTAATTAAAACCAATGTAAGCTTTTATTGCAAATATTAAACAAACGTAAAAAGATATGAAACGGAAAAAATTAAATGAACACACCAAGAAGCTCCTACCTGTCTGAAGAACTCCTCCATAAGCAGTTCAGTCCACTTATGATGGAGCTCCCAATCCTTTGCAGGGTGGCTGATGTCACTGCAGTGCACAATTAAGGAGAGGGCTTTCGTTTTGTCAATCCTGTAACGTACGTTGATGCAAATTATGTTAAGAAAATCATAATATTAAAATTATATTTTATTATGGATGTAATATTTATTCATATTAATGAAATTATTTCATTCTATCTGCTGAGATGAGGGTATGTGCATTCATTATCTTGTCATGTCTTTTAGAATGAAAGCTCTAATCCCATAAGACTCTTGTTTCTGGTGATGACGGTGATGCTGATAATGATGATGTTGAGAATTCTAGTGTTGATGAATATCTGTACGTTAAATTTTGTATCTTCGTACCTTCAACTCTATGAACTTTATAAGTTGGATAGCATGCATTTTTCAACTGTTGTAGATTGTCGAAACTTTTTTTTAATTAATTAAAGTTCACAAAAAATAATGTCAATAGATTTTTCTTAAATATCAAAATGAACAAGTTGATAAACAATTCTTTAACAACAATACAGCAGTATTCGATTAGCACTGCTTGCTTGATACCTGCTTCTTAATTAATGTTTAATTTTTTGTTGTGAATCCATTTATCAAAATGCTATTACAATTTATTCATGTTATTTCTATTCATAAGCAGGAAAGCTCTTGTTTATGGAAGAAGTTATAGAGTAGGTTATCTTTACAGAGGCTTACTTTCTGACTATGTTGTTGCCAAACTGTTCGGCTGATTAAACATTGTTTCATTTCACTATTTTATTTATTTTTACATAATTTAATAATTTTAATTATTATTTTTAAAAATGTTATTGATTGAATGGGTAAATACAATCATTCTTAATTTTGTTGTCAGTCCGCTTTCAATTAATTCGAACAAAAATATTGTTATACTATATTAAAATGTTGATATCAGAATGCAAATTAACTAACAAATAAAAATGGTAAAAAGAGTTTAAAAAGACATTGTATACAACCAAAAGGCGTTCGTTTAGGAAGAAAAAAAAACTGCTTGTCAGCAGAATTAGCTGAGAAACATAAAGAAGGAAAGCATTTAAACGGTGATTGCTGAGCCGTGCTTCTCGTCGCTGGACGCTTGCCGTATTTATGTCCTGTCGGCAATGGCTTCACAATTAAGGAAGTAATGTACGGGCTTAAAAAGCTCTCGTTCGGATAAACACTGACTGCCATGAAAATATATTAACGTGTTCTTGGATAATACACGAATGTGTTGTTTCCAAATGTGTGAGCATTTTGTAAAATGTTGTAACGTCTTTGAAAATGTATGTACTTGTACGTGTTTGATATTTTCCAGTAACAGTTTTGCTTGGAGATAAATGAAAAAAATAGTCGGAAAATTGCTGTTCTAGTTGTGGTAATAAACTGAAGATTTTGGAAATGAAATCGTCTCCAAAAAGAGAGAGCAGTTGAGAAAAAAACTCTTAAACAAGATCTTCAACAATTTTCATGAATTTAAAAATTAACCAACACAAAAGTGCTATAAATAATAAAATTTTAAACATTGTATCAGTAAATGTAGTTTAAAATTAGTAACTCACAAATATATTTTCAGAAAGATTTTATGATAAAACACCAAAATTTTAAAAATCTCCCATTAACATTAAACTTTATGTCAAACACGGTCTTACGTATACAACATTCGTAAAAACTTACGCACGACTTTTTTAAAGATTATAGTAAATTCTTCTCTGTAGATATAACGAAACAGAAAAAAGTAGTAATAATAAAATGATTAGAAATGATTAGAACATAAACATAGTATCGTAATATTAAGGATAGGTTTAGTTTTTGCTGACCGTAGAAGAACCAGTACCTACCATGTCTGTGTGTTTTGCCAATGTTGATGAACAAATTTATCATTCACGTAGAAGGGACAAGCTAGATTACAAAGCGTGCGTATACTTGGTGCAGCGTTAAGTAGAAAAAATTTGTTTAGTACAAAAACTGTATCTAATTGGAAATTAAAAATATAAGCTGTTTCTAGTTAGTCAAAAATATTTAGACTTTCACAAATATTGATAAAAATGTAAAAAGAATTCATAATTTTAAAAAATTTGATGTGAATTTTTAATTGTAATAATAACAATAGCTTTCAACACAGTTATAATTTTAACAAGGACAACAATACTTAATAATTATAGACATAACAATAATAAAAGATCAAATGAAAGGATGGAAGAATGTTCAAAATTTTATAATCAGAAAATTACATGCTGTGTGCTAGTGAAGCAGCTAAATCCTCACTGGTACCTTAACTAATCGGCATTTTCCAAACAACTTTGGAGAAAAGCTGAACCAGAACGCCAACAATTATTAAATGTTTCCGCAACCATGGTCTCAATCTGACAAACATTCAATAAGTCATTCTTTTGAGTGAATTCAGTAATTTCAGTAAATAAGAACCATTTAGATGCAACTTCCCGCATGATCAACGCGACACAACACAAACAACATAACCCTCATTCCTGAAATATTCACAACTAATCCGGGAATAATCTAGAAACTAATCATTCACATGATTAGTATTATCTCACTGAACACGTAATTTCTCCGTACATGGATGCTTAAGTCAATTTGTTTGAGTGAGAGTTGAGCACATAGGCAGAATTATGTCTTCTTTTAGTCACTTCATCACGCAACATCATCATACATTGTCATAATTAATTACTTACCCATTTCGTTAAATAACTATAAAATTAGTTAATAATGTTTTATCAGTTTCACACAAGCAACTTGCAATCCATGTTATCACTGACAAATTATTTAAATAACCTGAATCATTTATCACTAAAAATATCAGTTGTACAAAAACACAGGATTTTTAAAGAGAATTATTATAATGTTTAGCATATGACACCAGCTCACAAGTTGGCATTAATTCATCATGTAACTATCATTTAATCACATCATTATAACGTTTTATTAACACGCACATCACACGTTCACAACCATCTGTTACTATTTTGAAATTATATTTTTCAGATAAATTAAATTAATTAAGAAGTCTTTTATTTCAGGCAGAATTTTTTTCTGAAGTTTCTACGTGTATCATTCAAACTTAATTAGATTATTAACATATTTCGTTCATGCTCTAATTTTTTTTCAAATGAAATAATTTAATTATTATAAAAAACATTATTTTAGCTCTGAGAAAAACAAAATTAAACTGACATAACGAATTTATCATCCTTGTTTCAACGCGATAAAACATACAACAGCGCTATCAAATTTGTTGCTGGCATCCATCTTCAAACGTCACAACAACTGAAACTTGTTAAAACATACCCACTAGACAGACCATCTCATGCCATACCACAATTATTTAAAATTCACCAACAAACATTTCACACTGCTTCACTCATATTTCAATAAGGCATATTACAGCAATTAGCAAACTGTATCTCACATTTCAACCACTGAAATAAATAAATACATCGTAAGGCCGAAAATTTCATCAAAACAAGCTGCACTGCACATATCACATTGCATTTCGTCTAATTATCCACAAAAGTAACGTTACAATAAACAAGGCACTCAATTACCTAACCACAAAAACATTTAACAACACATAATATTATTAAAACGAACATTAAACAATTTACAACATAGTACAATCCATTTCTACACGGAAACCTACTAAAAAATATTTTTCGACACATTTCAGCACATTACAAATTACATCAAACTACATAGAATTACAAAATGTTGCAACAGCGAGGACTAACGTTTCTTGAACGTTCAGTGAATGTTTCACTGTTTTAATTTGCTGGAAGTGTAGAGACATGTCTGTAGACAGAACAATTTCAATCATGTTGGCTCGCAGCTCCCTGGATCAAATCATCATTCAATCAATTATTCAATAATTTATCAATCAATTATTTAATTACTTTTCAATCATTTTTATTAATCAATTATTCAATCAAATATTAATCAATTATTCAATCATTAATTATTTAATTGTTTATCAATTTTTTCAAGTTAAATCTGTAATCGATCAATCATTTCGATAGTTACCTTCGTGACTTAGTTCAAGTTGTACTTTTCATTTTTAGAAATTTATTCAAGTTACTCTTTTTTTTTTACAAAATTATAAAAACGAATTGCCGTTGGTTTTTACTTAAATAGAGATGGATGAAAATTAAATGCAAGCTGATCATTTACCGAAAGCGATGCAGCTGGCTTTGACACTGCCTGCAAGCCCTTGCAAGAAACAGTGAAGTGACTTTAACTTTTTTATGCCCAGTTTTTTTCCTTTTATAGACTTACCACTCATACAAAATAAATTTAAATTTGTTTTATTACAAAAAATGCTAATTTTAACATCGGTAAACACTTTTAAATTGCTATTTAAGCAAATAAGGCACGTTTTTAAATCACGAAGTACCTCCCTGTCCAGAGAACATTACAAAAATGTTGCCTTACAAACGCTAGATAATTAACATTATATAAAAAAATAAATAAAAAGTTTTAATAGTTAACATTTTTTGAACGTGATTTTTTATTCATCATAGTTGAGGCATAATTTTTATAACGAAAATCATTTTGCAATAGTTCGAAGATGACTCGTCATTTTTCATACATCGTCGTCAATGTTGTAAATGTGGGCATTCACACAATTTACACAGTCGTGAAGACCAACATGGCAAAATAAAATTGAAAATAGGAAGGTAACGATGTATTGTGACGATGTTGTAGCAGTAGCAGTAGTAACGCAATCAGCACTAGAGAGGAAGCTGTGAATATCCCGGCATGTAATACAAAGGATATCATTAATGTTGGAAATGACTCTGAAAATAACCACAACATTCCGATTATTACCGGTTATAAGACGCCAGTGTAGTAGTTGCTACTACTATTATTGTTGCTAACACTACAACTGCAATTTTTGTGTCTGTCATTATTCATTCGCACACTCATCCTTGTTCATTCATTCACACACTCATCCTAATTCATTCATTCACTCATCCTTATTCATTCATTCGTTCGTTCGTTTGTTCGTTCGTTTGTTCATTCGTTCGTTCATTCATTCATTCATTCATTCATTCTTTCAAAATTCATTCATTCATTCAAAATTCATTCATTCATTCACAATTATTCAATCAACCAACCATTATTAAAGAATAACTCAACCATCATTATTCATTTACTTAATTATCATTATAGAATCACTCAAACCAAGAATCCAATCATCATTCTACACTCTATTGAAACATCATCTTCAACGTTGCAAGCAGCTAGACAGAAAACTTCAAGCAGTAAATTCCCTTTTTGAATTTTGCAGATAAAAAGTTTAAGAAACAACATTTTAATAATTTTTTTTAAATTTTGATAACCGTTTGAACTTCGCAATGATTTCGTACAAAAATTCCCTGAAAGAATCAAAACAAAACGTCCAAGCTGGCAACAATACGATTAAGACCTGCACGCAATCCAATAAAATGTAGAATATGGAATAATAAAAAAGCTTTAAAATTTATATCAACAAATATTTTTACAACCAGATCAAATTTGAGCCTCTATATCACTATCTCTATATCACTCTATATCACTGACATTAACGTCAAATGATAATCCGTGGCCATCATTAGCAATAGCATGTCTCACGACTAAATGATAGTTTCCAATTTGGACTGACAGCTTAAACTCATCACTTCATCTTCTTCTTCATCATCATCATCATCATCATCATCGTAATGATAAACGTCTTAAATGTCATAAAGAAACTGATTATTATCATCATGATCAACAAACACGATCATCACAATCTCAGTAGTTGTCATCTTCATCATTTTACTCACTGATCATTATCATCATCATCTTAGTCACTGATCATTATCATCATCATCGTCTTAGTCACTGATCATCATCATTCAACACCATCAATCTTGTTAATCTTCTCATGCAGCCTCCTTTACACAAATACCCACACTTCGATCATCATCGTCGTCATCATCATCATTATCATCATCATCTTCTTTTCTTCTTCATCATTATCATCACTGTCCCAATCGTTATCATCAACGACATTGTCATCATCTTTGTAGCCATCTTCATCGTAATTTTTATCACGCAATACGATTTTCTTACATGGTTTTCATGAAAATTGTAATTATTATTATCATCATCGTCATCATTTTTATCATTTCCGTTTTAGAATCCAAATAATCATCATCCAATTTGTTAGTAACATTTTAATCAGCACAAGCATCATCGCCATCATCATTTCTGCCAACATTTTCCCATTCAAACTGATGATTTCATTAAAATGTCAAATTTCTATACCAAGTTCTCATCTCCTACCAACGTTTCATTTATTTTTCCCCAATTTTTTTAGATATCACAACATCATCGCCACCCATTGCTTTATCATATTATTGTCATCATCTTCAACGTCGTCATCATTTTACCATCACCCCACCATCATCATCGTCATCATCCTCACCTGTAGTCATCTTTTTTTAAATTGGAGAGTAGGTTGACTTCGTCATCCTTCATCATTCTGAACGTTGAACTGAGATGGTGGTTCTCCAGTACTGCCTTGTCGTTGTAGAGCAGAGCTGTGTCCGAACTGTGTGGTCGTGTGTGGTCATGTGGTTGTTTGGTCATTACGACAATAATGATGATGATAAGGATGATGAAAATAGTTTATAGTGGTTTGGACAGAAATGATGGTAATGAATGTGAATGAAAATATAAGTACATATACTTATATTTTAAAATATACAACAACATTCATTAATTGGTTATTAAATTAGGAAAACATTAGCAATTCATGAAATATATTGCAACATCTTTAAATACGATAGCATTGAATCACGGTTTAAAAAACAATGAAACACATTTTTTAAATGTGGGAACATGCAAGATGAAGCGTTATATAAACCATATAATTTCAACCAATCATCATTATTATTGTCATACTCATCATCAACAACAACAACATTATCATCATCATCCTTCACCTCATCATCTTATCGTCATCATCATCTTATCACCATTATCATTCTCAGATCATCACCAACAACCCACAAACACCACCACAACCGTCATCATCATCACTATCATGATATCATCTCGTGACCTGGTGTTGATATGGAATGTATTTGTGGTTCCGGTGTGTTCGAAGTCGTGTATGAGTGAAGCTACAATGGCCGAGAAGACCTCCAAGTCTGAAAACCAGGTCTGTGTTTTTTTATTTTGGCAAATTATATTTTATTATAATTAATTAATATTTATATAATTTATATTTAAATATATACATTCTATTTTACGTTAATTATGAATCATAATATTGTTTTGTAACGGTATATTATCATGCTAATTCACTAAGTGCAAGAAAGTTAGTTGAATTGGTTATTTATAGAATCTTATAAAATTGGACCTGTAGGTTTTATAGTTTTATATTACGTTAGCAGCTCTGTTAAAAACAGAGCTGCTTTTTAAAAAATATTGCTGTTAGTTTTTAACAGGTTATGATGAAAAAGTTTATAATTTCATGTTGAATGTTTTAGAATTGAGTTTCTACCAAATAAATGTGCTACCAAAAAACCTTAAATTCTTAAAATTCAAAAATTCATGACATGAATTTAGGTCGAGCAAGCACCTGAAACAAACACTAACACTACATACTGCAACAGCAATCCTTCCAGACTTTCTTCACACACGCCCAATCTCTCTCCCACACATACATACTACGCAGACACACACAGCGCGTGCGGACAAACACACACGCACACACACAACAACAACAACACAAACACACGCACGCACACGCGCAGAAACTAAAAAATGACGTACTACCTGTATGTCTACTCCACTCATGCATACATGATGAAATTTCGTATGTGGCATCTTTATATTGGGCCTCATAAAAATTCATTTCTACCTAGACTTGCATACAAACAGATGGTGCCCGCGTTTGTACACTCAACCTTATACACTCAGCTTTTACACATTCATGTACTATAAATGTATTGTATTGTATATATGGCACATGTTGCATATGTATTATGTATGCACGATATATATGAAACTATACGTTTAAGATTTGAACAGACAAATTTCTCTAAGGGCATATAAATTTTTAATGAAATTTCAGCGAAGAAATTAATAATTAAAAATCGTGTGTTGAAACGCAAAGTTCAAATAGCATACATTTACGTACATAGCGTTTGCGTGTATGTTTGTATGCACACACAAGTATTTATAAATGGCATATATTTAAAATTTTCATACTTATGGAGTATATATATATAACGTTGTTGTTTGCACGTTGGAGTGACAATATTATGATGCAATATGAACGAAGCAGGTATAGAAGAGGAGATGTTTGTTATGCGGAATTAATTGGCACTGAGGATCCAGGGAGATGATTCGTCTGGTTGGCTAAACTATTTTTGCACCTTCCATTAATTTTAATCATCGAATACGAAGGTATCATATCATGCACATTGCGGAGAAAAAATTATTTCAAACGCCTCGTATTTAAATATTCAATAGTTTAATAAATCACCGTTAAACCGGAAGAATGTATCACGTGATGCGCGGTTTGTGTGACGTCGGCAGCGTGTATCAAATTGTGGTATGGGTTGTGGTATTTGCTGTACCCCTGCTCTAGCCGCGTCAGGAAGTGATCCAGCTTTTGTAAATTGATCTGAAAATGTAAATGGGATGTTTTCTAGGTCAGTTTCGAAATGCAAAGAAACAAATTTCTTCAGACAAGTAAATGATTCAAACAATTGAACTAAACAGGTGTTAAATAATTAGCAAAGGCGAAAATTTTTATAAAAAAAATAATTAAATAGTGATTCCAACAACTTTTTAAAAATTTCTGAAATCAATCTTTGCTGTAATTATTGTTGTCGCTTCAGCAAAAAATGTAACACATCATGACATGACACATCAATAAAATTATGAGTACGAACCTTGAATTTATTGATGAAGTCGTACCTCTGCAGAAGTTCATGACCTATGAACTTTAGCGCATGACCTTCCGAGACCTCGTTCAGTTTGAAGACATCAAATGACCACTCGTTTATATCCTAGGTGCGAAAAGTTGAACGTGCAATTAAATGTCATGCTGTTGTGTTTTCGTTTGACTTTGTTAATTAAAATTAAATAAGTAATTTGTTTAAAATAGTTTTAATAAGAACATTTTTTTAAATGATTAAAAATTTATTTGAATTTTGTTGAATTTAAGATCATTAGATATGAATAAAGCAACACAAAGCTTTCTCGACCAAACTGCATTAACTTGTTATAACGTACATATCAATAATTCATGAAGATGTTTTCACAGGCGCACAGGCGGCAACATTATTTCTTCCATAAAGTTAATTTTCCTTTTTTGTTTTTTTTTTTTGTAAATGTGGATTGTGAGTACGTTTTTTGACGAATTTTACACTTCTTCAGAATATTTTCATACGATATTTGTTTTACTAAATAAAAATTTGTTAGTCGATTAATGGTTTAAAATGGAAGAGTAATCCACTCTAATTTGTTTTCCTAGTATTTCAAATCAGAAATTAAAAACTTTTGAAATATTTCGAATCAAACATAAAATAATTTCAAACAGAACATAATTTGATAATTTAAAATACGCACTAATGACCTGCTAAGATGTTAATAACTAGTTACTCGTCAACAGAGTATCTTAATTAAAAACAAAATATCAATTTTTTCTCCTTTATAAATAACGGTAGTTAACTTTTAAAAGAATTTCCAAATACTCAAACGCATCAGCAAAAAATTTTATACCCATATTTATTTAAAATATGCACTGAGGGTTTGCACATAGGTTTTTTTATATCAATTATTTTATTTATTGATGTTAGTGTTAACTTATATGTTATGCATGCAGACAAAATTATTGCACTATTGTTTAATATCCCTAAAATCATTAAAAATTGCATTTGAATGACGTCATCATCAAACTTTTGTATTTGCCTTCTTGGTAAAATTAAAGAAATAGCGGGACCCATGTCACATTTTTTAAAAAAACTTTGAAAGAAATCACCATTAGCGAGTAAACCTATTATAAAAAGCCCGTTTGCACACTCGACAAATGATTTCATATACCATTGTGTAAATAGAAAACTAATTAACAGCCAAGGAAGTAACTTCTTGTACGACACTCCACAATGCGGAAATATAAAGAAAAAAATCATTATGCGAAAATACTCGCAAAGAGGTTTAACGGCGTCTAAATTGGTTGGAAAGAATCATTCATCAGACGACGCTGCTGCTGCTACACAAGAAGTCTGCAGCACATGCAACTAATATACTGATGAGTCTAAACTACATGTCTATCCATTCATTCAATAGCTATCTATTCCTTCAATAGTGTATCCATTCATTCTGCGTTAATTTCAGATTGTATTGTTTCAAATCCTTGACCTCGCATACAAACACCGATGTTATAACTTCAAAGATCTCTATATTTCCAACACCAGTGTTGTAGCTTCCAACGATCGTCATGTTATCTTTATTCCGTAGGTTCAAGATTTTAGATATATGAACACAACTGCTTCAAACGCAAACTTTGTTAAACGTTCATTTGAATACCAACAGTAATAGAAACAATAAACTAATCCAAGTAACTCTGTAAATCACATTTACGACTTCGCTTTCTCTTCTTGTAACCTGACTTTCACTAGAAACCTGCCTTTTAAACCCCCTTATAAACCTCACTACGTATGATGTATTTATAGCCGATTTTACAATCAAAAAATTACAAAGATTGCAAAGATAACAATATTCAAATAAAAAATAATATAGTGCAATTCGATCATTCTTGCGGTTATAACAGCATAATTGTAAATAAAATTCTGAATGACAAAATTGTACACTACGTCAATGATCAAATTTGTGGTAAACCTTTTTCATTAAAAATGCCATACAAATATTTTATAAATTAAATTTAACTTACGAGTTGAACAATACAAAATATATTTCAGTTGAAAATTGTCAATGATTTAACTTCTAATAATTCGTCGTATTCTGCGTAAGTTTGAAATTGGAATAATGAAAACGAATTTCTGCGTTAAATTTGAAATTGTAAGGATGAAAAAATTAATCACTAAATAAAGAGGTTTCTTTGTAAATAACATGTTATAAATTCTTAGAAACTCTTCAAAAAAAAAAAAGGAAAATTAATTCACAGGAAAGAAAAAATTGAAATAAAAAACCCATTAATAAAAGGGTGAATGAAATGGAACGAATAGGTATACATACAACACTCAAGAGATAATCATGAAAATAATTTATGAATAAAATGTATTTTTCAAGGAAAAATTAAATTTTTTGAAACAAATGATAATATTGATAAATTATAATAATTATATTTTAATTATTTTATTAGAAATGTTTGCGTTTGAAGCAGTTGTGTTTATCTATCAGAAATCTTGAACCAGCAGAATATCGATAACTTGGCTTTGGTGCAAGTCACACAACACATTTGTTAGAAGTGAGATCTTTGAATTGAAGTTACAACACTTTTAACTTTGACGACCGTCACTTCTAGCATCAGTGTTGTGACTCCAATTCAAAGATCTCACTCCTACGATGGTTTAATTAGAGTTCAATCATTGAAAATTTTCAATTTAAATGAATTATTTTTTCTAATTAAATTTTAAAAATAATTCAAATCATTTATAAGGAAAATAACTTGACGATGCAGGTAGTGGTTAGGGTTATGTTTGACCTTATTAGTGACAGAAGCATCAAGAAAACATTTTAATGAGCAATTGAAATCTCTTTATAATCTCCAGTTGCAGACATGGCTGGCTCGCTTATTCATCCAATATCTCGTAAATACAAATGTAATAAATAATTTTTCTACTTATGCGTATGTATATTTCTATGCCCACAGGTATGTTGTTATAAATGTATGTATCAAAGTATTTACTTGTAAGTATTTATGAAATTTTTTATAAAATATTTTTATGCGTTTATTTTTTGCTCCTTAAACGTATGTCTGTTCATGCCCTCAAATATACATTTAAGTATGCCTGCACTTAGTATGGAGAGCGATGTGGATGGAACATGAGACATTTTTTAAATAATTTTAATAAGCAACAAATTGCGTCGGTATATAGCAAATTTGTTAGATATAGTTATAACTTTGACGACCATCGCTTCCAACACCAGTGTTTTGATTTGCACTATCGCCAAATTATCGATATACCACAGGTTCAAGATTTCTGATAAATAAACACAACTGCTTCAAACGCAAACTTTTTAAACGTTCATTCGAATGCCAACAGTATAGAAACATTAAACTATTCACTAATCCAAAAATTACGCACGATAACCAATAGCCCAGATCCTAACTACATAAATCACAACTACAACCCCGCTACCCACTTCGCTATTAACCTCGCTACTCTTAACAATGCACAACTCTTCACTTAAATACAGTTTTACATTAATAACAAAATTAACAAACAGTCAGGATAATAAAAATTAATTGAGTAATGCAATGCGATAACTTCGACAGATCTAACAATATTTTTAACATAGAAAGAAGTGTATCGAATTATGTTAACTGTTCACAAAACCAGCATGTACTGCATTTGAAATATCCAACCCAATCGTTCAAGAACAGAACTTGCATGCATTTACAAAGAAAAAATTGCAAAAATTTGTTGAGGTTATTGAAGTTTGCCAATTATAATTTTAAAGGAGAAAAAATTTTCAATATATTTTTCCAGCCAGCATTACAATTTAAAGTTCACCGAATTTTTGACAACTAATTGTTCTCACTTTAAAGTTTTTTAATTAATTTTACAAAATTGTTTGAAAATAGAAATAGTTTTTATGACAACTCAGCTAAAACTTTAAGTTTTTGTTGACTTTGAAAATAAATCTTTATATTTAACAATATGACTGCAATTTTAATTTTCGTAACCATCAACATCACTCTCAATTCGTTATTCATTGTCTTTTGTTCTAATCATAGTTTAAATTTCAAAAATTCCTTTTATTCCACCACTTAAATATTTTTCTTTAAAACATCTTGTATAGTTAACAATTATGCAAATTAGTTTCAATGAAATATAGTTCAGCGTTTTCATTCAGTAACCATCTTGTCCATGTGAACGAGTTTTGTAATTAATTTTAAAACTCTTAGCGTTAACTTATTTTCCCTGCTTTTTGAAAAGTTATTGAACAAATTTTGTATTGTCGCCATATTAATTTTGTTTATTTTCTTTATGTTCACTTTATTGATAATGTGCAACAATATGTTAAGCCTGAAAGAGAGAATACACGTTGCTAATAGCAAAAATGTAGGTTGTTTTTATCAGGTTACTATGAATAAAAATTAGAAACAACAATTAATTGATTGTAAATTAATAAACTGAAACAAAATTTAAACCATTTGATTTCCAACTTGGTTATGAAAAATAATTTTATGTGATAATGAGCTTTTTGAAGGTGTGTGTTTTCGTACTTGTCACTATTTTTAGAAGTTAATGATTTTATGACATTAAATAATTTTGTAGGCGCCTATTTGAATTCAGATAGCTCCAACTATTAAATATAAATTAAACTTAAAAAAAAGATTTTAGCATAAAATATGGCAAAACATCATTAAACTCAAGCTAACAAAAATTTAAGAGAGAAACTCCAAAAACAAAAAACGGTTCTGCACATTATTTGTAGAGTCTAATTTGTGAAACAACAAAAACATTGTAAATTCTAAAATTAAATTCCATAAATGCAGAGTTTTATGATTTTTGCAGATATTTTATTATACTTTGTTATACTGTTTTAATTTATTGAAATAAAAATAAAGAAAAAAAACGTTTATGTTTGTGACATTCAACCTGAGAAGTTTCAATAAACACAAACATTTGACATTTTAAAAACAAAATTCAAAAATTAGACTCCAAATTTTTTTACACAAAATAATTAACTTTGCTTTTTAAAAAATTTTTTTTCAAAAATTTTCTGCTGTGAAAAAATATTGGCTTTTGAAACAAAATGAAAAATTTTCAAAATTTATGAATTCATCGTAACTCTTTTAATGTAGAAAAAATTCAAGCCTTTCTGCTGCTTCTATCGAGATGTTCAATTTAGAAAATTAAAACCACTAACTTTAGAAAATTTTTTAATAATAATTTAGAATTAATTATTAAAGTTTGCTTTTTTCAGTCTTCTTCTTTTTTCTTGCGCCTTATTCTTTCAGGACATTAGAAATAAAATTTAAACGTTATTGGCCAATAAGTAGGCATTTTTTGTGTGAGAGTCTGAAAAAAACTATAAGGTGAATAAAACCCATTTTATTTAAAAATGAGTAAATTTAAAACTAATTTGTGGTTGCACACTCTTATTTAATGAAAAAAATAATAATATGAAGGTAAAATATAAAATAAGAAAAAATGATTAAAAAAATGAATAAACATTGATCGAAAAGTTTTTCCAAATCAAAAAAAACATTACTCAAACACTCAAGTCATTGGTGAGAAAATTAATAATAATGATTCATCATCAATTAAGTTTGGTTTTACAACTTTATTATCTATTTTTACACTTTTATTGCACTAATAACTTGAAACGAACTAATTATTAATAACTTTATTTTAACTTTTAAAGTTTAATTCTTCATTTGAATTATTAATTTCAAAGGTTTTATTTATAGACATCAAACAAATAACCAACAAAATTTTACCACCCACATTTAAAACATTTTCATTCCAGTGAAATTCATTCCAGTGATTTACAAAACAAACAATTAGTTACTCTGGGGTTTCGGGCAATGTAGACAGTGCATCAAATATTTCATTATGTCATACCATCAAAAAATAACTTTTCCTATGCAAGGACAGAAACAAAATTTTTTTCCATATTTTTGATAAAATGAAAAATTTTGAAAAAATGTCTGATTAAAAACAATTTTGAGTTAAAAATGTGTTTTTTTTGTTTTGAAAAAATTTATTACTTTAAAAAATTTGTTAAATTAGTTTTCTCTTGTTTTTGATGATGATGATGATGGCGTTGGTAATGATGATGATGATGTTAATGATGAAGATTTTAATTTTTATGATGAAGATGATTGTAATGTAAGATGAAATCGTTAATATTGATGATTTTGTGTAACCGAAAACTTTTGTGAATTGCTTTATTGAAAAATACTCTGGTGTTTTCCAATTAGATGATGAAAATGACTTGCATTTGATTTTAATTAGTTAGATTTTTTTGTTTGGTTTTTCATAACTTGTCAAACTTCTTCATTCGTTTAGTACATATTCAAAATTTTTCATTCGCCTTTTTTTGGCACATTAAGCTTTTTAATTCTCAGGATTGACAAATTTTCATTGTAATTACAAATCTCGCTAAGTAAAACTAACATATATTATTTCGTTGAAATGTAAAACAATTATTTTCATTGTAACTCAAAATATTATTTTTTATGTTACATAAAATAAATTAAACGCATATTACTTTTTTAATGTTTCTAATATTTTTGTTTATTAAAAGCAATTAATTTATAAACATAACAGTTGGCAGAGGACAGAAGAGAACTGTAATGTTTGCGTACTGCTGTCAATTTTATTAGCTTCGTTATTCTTGACGATCCATTAGGAGTGTTTCATTGGTTTCAAACGAGAAAAAACGAAGAAAATTAACGTAATTATCATAGCTTCGCTAATGTATCACCATCCACAAACAGGTGTAAGCAAAGGTGATGTTCAGCGATGGAAACATTTCTCTTTTTCAATTTCCAACGCTTGAACAATGTTTAAATAAATTGTTTCTTGTATGTTTTTTTTGTGCCGCAACAAATAAATTCACGGTGTTTCTATTTGCTTTGCAAAACTGAACAATTCAAACTTCCATAGTTAAGAAAAATATTATTCATTATTATGGTAAAAAATGAGAAAATATGCATAAAAAATGTTCATCAATTTTAGTTAGATTTTATGCATATTGTAAGTTTATTCGTTGGTTTGTTTTCACTAGGCTAATTTCTTAACACTTTTGTCACTCGCATTATTTTCCTACGAGTTTCACCTCGTCTTTTTTTTAAATTTCAACAGTGTACGGCCAACGTAACGACAACATTTATTTCAAAAGTAACTCAAAGTTTCTGTTGCATTATTCAAACAGCATCATGCTTGTTGTTATGAACTTCAGTGATAACTAAAAGTGAGAGCTTTCAACATAATAGATGCAAATAAACTTTACGATGCCCATTTGAAATGTAAACAAAACAATCAACCAAGCGATCACATATTTTGTTCAACCAGATAATTACCAAAACAAATTTCAAAACAAATATGGTAAATGTCTTTTGATGTCAAAAATGTGAACGTCGTCGTAGCAATAATTAATGAGTCAAGAGAGTTGATTGATTATTTCTGTCAATACATCTAAATAAACTAATTAATAATATTTGTTCTGTGCACATGATCCGTTGTGATGGTTTTAGTCGTGTTCCTCTGCGTACGACATGCTGCTCTTGTTGCTCTTTCGTCGATTTCCTTCCAGCAATTATTAATTGCAATCTTCCAGATGTGAATTAATGTTTGATATGGTTGCATTGCGTTCATGTACAGAACATATTGTTAGTATGATATGTGGAGAAAAGCTTATTGAACATTGTGCTTTGATGGCAAGAATTAAACTAATGCATCAATTAGTTAAGAATTTTTTCATTATATCGTTACAAAAGTTATTATCGAAACGTCGAATCAATTGAGAAACTATAACTAATGCTAATATTCTCACATTTTACATATGTTTTTTATTTCGCATTAACTCTTTTTTTCAATTTATTTAATTCTTAAACTGCTTCTTAGTAATTTTCGAAAGATTAAACAACGAGTGAGCTCTTCCAAACCGTGAACTGCATCATAGGACCAAACGCTCTAAAAACTTTAGAAACTTTAAATATTTATGAAACAATGTTGAAAACATTCTAATTTTTCAATAATATTTAATAAATGAAAATTAATGGTTGGAACTTGACAACGCAAATTCGATTTTTAATGATCACCGTGTTTCAGAGCTCAAACTGTATATACGTTCCTCATGAACTTCCGAATTGTTTTCCAACGAACAATTTCAATCCCAGTTTTAAAAAGCAAAGAAGGTCTGGGGAAATATGTAGCAACGTTGTGAACGTACAGTACAATTTATACATACTTCTCTGAACCTGCTTGTTATCTGATTTTTTAACAGGACGTCACATGTTCATGCTCATGTTATAGAGCGTACGAAGCCATAACCAAGGGTATACATTGTATACTATACAATGCTTAAATTATACCTTCCAAATTTGTTGAGTGGTTGAATTTTCAACCTGAATTTGAACAATGTAATCTTTCATTTTGATTATTTTTACTTTCCATTATATTAAGAGCTCATTTTAATTTTAGTTAACAAGTCAGTCAAATTGATGCATAAACAACTTTATCATCATTTTCATAAACACATTATCATCGTTCATTAATTATCCGGTCTTTGTTGCATCTTCGTCTGGTTCATTAAAAATTTGTTCAATCAAATGTATGTGTTTTTTATGTATGCTCAAGGTAGAACATACGCAAATAAACACAAACACACACACACACACGGGCGCACACGCACATGAACTCACATGCACGTACAAGCGCACACAAACGTATGTAGGCACTGACAAGCGTACAAAAAGATATATTCGTACGATTTAATATAGGAGGCATGAACGTACAGTACGCGCTCAGGTTCCGTCTTGCTGTTCACTGCTATGTTATTGTTGGCCTTGTCAGTTGGTCACGATGACGATGTCAACATTGACGATGATGATAATGATGGCGACGGTGATGGCGATGATGATGATGCTGATGATGTCTTTTTTGTGGAGGCATACGCCGCTTATGTTTGTTTAATGATTGCGTTTAAAACCTTGGAGCATGCCATCTAGAGTGGCTAGTCTCTTGCTTCTCTCTTTGTTTTCATTTTAGAATTTTAGAGAAACAAAAATAAGTTCATCCTTCATCATCATAATAAATTATTTTTAAAACGTACTCGCTTACTCTCCTTTATGATTTATGCGATTACTTAATTTTGTAACACTCAGTTGTTTATTACTTAAATGCCCGTCAGACATTATTTATTTCATAGAGTTAATTATGACTACCAACGATTCATTAATATTCTTCCCATCAACCGTTTGTTTAACCTAGCTCGCTCGTGTACCGCCGCCTGGAACTGATGGTGATGAATTTTCTTTAAAGTCCTTCCACACCTAGGTAGACGTGCATTTGTTTGTACGTGTGTGTGTTTGTTTGTACGCATGTGCGTGTGTTTGTACTTGTGTGTGTGTGTGTGTTTGCTTTTTATTTTTTGATGTTTGTGAACATGCCTGTACAAAACGCTGTTTTCAATGTGTACATTCATGCAGGCAAGACGCTTTTGTGCAGTATTTTTGGTCATAGTGAGTTTCTGTTATTTGATTGTTACATTTCAAAACTATTATCGCTTTTATATTTTTATCATTAAATGTATTATCTCTCTCTCTTTCTCACTACATATATATACATATATATAAAGAAAAAGAGAGAGAGAGAGAGAGAGAGGAGAGAGAGATAGAAATAGACAGATAGCACTTGAGTGTTTTGTTAGCCATCTAGAAATTAATAAAATTTTGTTTTGCTGAAGGCGTTTTGAAATTTGTTAAGGTTTCCAATTATTTGATGAGTGACGCACGTTAACGTGGTGAATAAATGTTTTTTTCTCTGAAATTGCCGACGAAAAAAAATAGTTAATAAGCCACAAAATTTTAAAATGTAATCTTGTCAAATTAAAGATATTGCAAAAATTTCGTTCAAAGAAATGTTTTAAATAATTAAAAATGTAATTATACATAGTTTTATTTTGAAGTAGAGTTGATATTTAACGTTAATCTCGAAACATTCAACAAAATTGTATTTTGAAGAACAAATAAGGAAAGAATGTCTAGAAAGAGGTGAGAACGATTGGAACCAATGATAAATAAATCAAATAATAAATGAATGGATTAAAAAATGACTGAATGGGTTGTCTGACACAAACTTTCATGTGAGCTGCAACTTTTGTAGGAACTTTGAATCCAGTGGAGCAACAAATCCGTCTGTAAATTCTGCAGAAGTGACAAATTGTTGGAATTTTTGTAATTATTTTTCAAAAAAAAATATTCCAGGTTTTTCTTTGTAAAGACATTTAGAAAAACTATCAAATGTTGATGAATATTCATTTCCTAGTAAAATGTAATTTGTGACATGTAAATTTAGGACCAAAACAGAACAATAAAAAAGTAGGCCACACTTACTTGTCGACCATGATGCCAGCTCTGATGGCGTTTGCCACACTTCTGAATTTTGGTTTTTCCTTGTGAACTTTCTTGACGGGGCAGCTGGAACTTGCTCTGCTGAAGGTCATTGCCAGCCAGTCCCTCACCTCCGCTGGAACCACATTCGTCTCAACTCGACTGAGAATCTCGCCATCGTCGTCATCATCACCACCTCTCGTCTGCCTGGTGGAGAAGTTTTTAACGTTGGTTTTTTAACAAAACTATTTTGAAGTTTGAAAAAAAAATTTTAAACGCATAGAAAATTGTTTGAATATGCAAGAAATTTCCGCTGTTTAATAGTTAAAAGAATTAGATATTATATTTTGACAGCCATATGCACATTTGAAATTTGCTGAGCTGTAACATGGGTTAATATTTTTTAAACGTACAATTTTTTGTTATGACGTTAAAAGTGTGCCAGGAAAAATTTTCAAAAATAAACTTTTGTTGCGTTGAATCCTTTGGGAAAAGTTGATTTAAAAGCTTTCTAAATAAGTTATACGTTTCTAGTGTTTGCGGCTCGTCGGCTTTTCGTCGGCGCAATCAATTTTCAAACATTATTTTATTTTTTGCAATGCTTCTTTAATTGATTAATCTTTTTTTTGTTTTTATATCATTAAAAACATGCATGTGATTATTTCAGTAATTTTCCGAAACTTCGTAACAAAATTAATTTAAGTTTCTTTGACCAGGACAGCAATAATAAATCGCCCTAATGTGTCGTGTCATAACTTGACGCGTGAACAATTTGGACTAATGAACACGTCAAAGCAGAAGCGTGGAGTAAAAAAGTTTTTGGAAAATATGAGAATGAATGAATGCATTGTTCACAGCTGGACACAGCCATTGCTGCACAATTCGAAACTCACTAAAACGTAACGCTTAAAAATGTTTTCTCAACACAACCTTCAATGAAAATCCGTCATTCCGATTTAGCCAGCAATCAGTAAACTAATCAATAAAATTTCTATAGCACGCACAACACACACGCACACACATTGGAAAAAACGAATTAATAAATTAGTTAAATACATGCATCCATCCACATTTTATTTATCCGTCCATTTATCCATCCATGCGCCTGTCTGTTATTCCATCTGTCCAATCATCCATTCATTCATTTATTTTTTATTCCTTTAATTATTTGTTTATTCGTACACGCATATAGAATGTTCAATATTTAAATATTCACACATCAGTTTTAAAAACGTCTAGCCAGATAATGATGGTTCATTTAAAAAAAAAGAAATTTCAGTTTTACGTGAATAAAAATTGCACTTCGTAATTCAGTGGCGAAACTTTTCAATAAATGCTTGCGATTTCATCGGAGTGCTGATTATTATTATCAATAATTCATGGTCCTCTAACATGAAACATGCACTAGTGCAAATATGAGAAATGTAGTAATATGTGTGTAGGCGAGCTGAACCAACAGCCTGGATAATGTCCCCACCCATCCACCCCGCCACCATCAGCTCACGACACATCCCACACTTCCTGACGTTGACTCTTCTGTTTTATGTGACGTCATGTTTCCTCTGGAGCCAACAAGATGGATGTTAATTGCCGTTCAAACGTGTGTTTTCAAATTAGCCCCATTAAATTTTACGTTGCACAACGACACATGCATGTATATATATATATATATATATATATATATATATATATATATAAATATATATATATATATATATATATACATATATATATAAAGCTACTTAGGTTATATATATATATATATATATATATATATATATATATATATATATATATATATATATATATATATATATATATGCGTGTGTGTGTGTGGTTGTGGTTTATAGGTTGGTGCGTGTGTGCATGCGCGCGCGTTTACATTTACAAGTACATTTAGGTTCATGAATCAACTGCAAATTAACTTTTGAAAAGTGTCTATAATTTTATTTTTACGTTTATAAACGATAATAATTTTTTCTGGTTTGCCTGCCTAAACCAAACACTAAGCTACGTACTGGGTCGGATACATTGGCGGATCTAGGGTGTGTAGGAAACCGTTGTAAGCGTTATTTGTGTAAAAGTTAGTAAAAGTCGTTGTTTTAACGTAAAAAGTCATTATTTTGAAGAGAGAATTGACATTATAAATCAATTAGCAAAAAAGTGCCCCATGCCGTCAAAAGTCTGGTCTCCGTGGGTACAGAAAATCTTAAAAATTTTCGAAACAAATTCACCAAGTTTTTGTTGGAAGTTTTTTCCAACTTTTTGAAAAATTCCCGTACCTAGGACTTCAAATACTTTTTGAAAGTGTTCAAAATTTAGTGGTTTCCCTCCGTATTTAATTAAAAAAAACTTCTGCTACTTTTAAATCCGGCCCAACTTACAGGCAAATAAAATAGTTTTATTACATTACACAAATTGTATTCACGTTCTTTTTTTCCTGACTGGAACAACTAAAAGGTTTTAATTCCTTCATGGCTCATTACACAAGATACCAAACATACACACTCCACACTCAATCACAATTTTGAGACATTTGCATACAAAATTTGGTCACTGAGGAATAAATCAATATAATTTGATCAAGGAAAAATATAAAAACTAAGTGTTACAAAATGAGATACATTCATGTGATGGTGATTAAACTACAAATGAAATAAACATCAGTGAGAACAATTTACACCACCAGATATTAAAAATCCACTAAACACGTAGAATGTCTTTAAAATGATTAAAATGTTTCGATTATGTTTAAAATGTCTTAAAAATGCTTAAAAATAATTTCAACGAAGCACGCAGACACCACTAACTGTTCGTCATCGTGCAGTTTGAACGATCGCCTGAGAACATCAATGGCCAGCTGGATGGTCGACCTCAGCTCCTCGCGTGAGATGTTGTTTCCTTTCTCTATCCGCTCCAATAATGCTCTCAATCTGATGGCGGAAGGATTTGTCAACGGGTTTCATAAACAACTTACGTTTGCATTCGTCATCAATCTTCCATCATCATTTAACTTCAACTGATATCATATTTCCGTCACATATCAACTTTATTTAAAGTATTATTTTAACATTTCAATATTATATTATTTTATAATTTTTAGATTCCAGAAACCATTGCAACGTATTTCATATTGTTTTTTTTGTTCACAAAAATATTAAAATATTTATATTCGGAGCGGAAAGAACAAAATATGATTTAATCTGAGTGTATGGAGGTATAAACCTTCGTGACCATGGAATCTGATGTTTTATTACAACCTCTAGAATAAAATTATGATAACACAAACCCTCATCAGCTCTCTAAGCCAGAAAGAAGATGATATAAAATCAATGGCACAACGTCACATTAAACATTCGCGGAGAATAGTTATTATCATGAACATGTCATCAAATTTATCGGAGAACATCATCAACGTCATTGTTATCATGGCGATCGTCGACTCGTTGAAATTGCGTCACTGAATTAATTTAATTTTTATTGTCTTCTGAAATATCGCAGTAATATCAAACCAGACTTTCCATTTCAACATTTGTTTACCAGTTAGTTACAAATTGAATTTGACTGTTACGTTTCAAACTGAACAAACAAATTTTAATATGAAAAATGATTTGATTAAAAATGTAATGAAAAACTATTATAAATTATTGAAAATATCATAGAAAAAGCGTTAATACTTACGTACAACACTTTATTCCACAATAAATTAAAAAAAAAATAGTTCTAAGTATGGTAACGCTAAAAATTAATACGTATATGCTTGATTGCAAGCAAAAAAGTTTATTTTTGTTTACAAATTTATTTTAGCTATAGAAATTGTGAGAAATTGGTTTATTCAAAATATTCGTGCAATCAGATCTCCTGTTTATTGATAAGTTTCCAATTATTATTTTTTTACAGATCACCTTTGAAGTGGCTTGTTTAAATGCGATAAAAAAAAGTTATCAGTAGTATCCATTATTACAAATTATTTTTAATTATTGAAAATGTTGAATTCATTTGAATGATTTTACACCATTTCAAACAGTACTGCAAACGAATCTAAAGTACAACAAGCTAAAATAGTATAACTCTTACTAGGAAAAAACAGAAATGGAAATTTAATTTCTTTGGTACCTAAATCAACTAATCAAATTTCTTTTATCGCTCTTCAATATATGATGATTAGTATTGTTTTCCAATTTGGCCGAGCCTTCCAAAACATGATTTCAAATTGCTCATTTCTGCGGAAACAGACTCAACAATGACCTGAAATGACCTCGAAACATTTGACCTCAATTTCTCAGCTAAATTTTTTATCCATGTGATCAGTTTCTGCACGTTAAACAAATGGCTTGTGTTGTGATAAGGAAAAAAGCAACAATAACATTGCGTTAAAATGCAAATTCGAACGCTAAGCTCAATATGCGTCTAAGTGTGCGTGAATTGTTTTTAACAAAAAATAATTTTTAGTTACTTATATTTATATTCCCATTTGTTTTTATTTTACGTATCAATCATTTATAAAAATTTTTTTGGGAAATATTTATAAATTTATTTGCTTGTTTTGCTGTTTCATTTGTTGTGTAGTTGGATAAATAATTTGCTGTGAGTGTGCTTGGAAGAAGGAGAGGGCTTTGCATAAATGCGTGTGAATAGAAATCTTTACAGACGTTGTGTTGCACGAGTACCTAACTTACTACGAAGCTGCTTTTCTTTCACTGCGACCACGTCGACTGGTAAGAGACATTGGATGAAATTAAAAATTGTGCTTTCGATTTCCTCATTTTTATTCATTTTAACTTTTTTATTTATATTGTTGTATTTCATGCTGAATTATGTTACCTTGAATCTTGAACTGTTTTTATTCAGGCTAACTTTGAGTGACCGCGTGTTTTTCTGTGGTGAAATTAACAAAGATGAATGTTGAAAGTGGAAGACACAGTTGATCCAGTTTAATTTTTTCTTGTGTTGGGAATAATGGTAGTTATGTGTCGTTTAAGCAGTGTTCAATGCGATCAGGATGAATTACTATCGACATGGCATCCAAACGCCTGTAGTTACAGTTAATGCTTGCAATTCAAATAAGAAACAGCAATGTAAACATCAGCCGCATACAAGATACGATAGCTATCAATAAAAGTGTTTTCATCTTTTTCAACAAAACAAATTACGAATTATTTTAAACACGACTAATTACATA